CATCATGAAGGACTGCTCGCAAAACAAGAGCCTGGATCAGGCATTCAACAGCAGCGCACTTCTCTCGCAGCAACACACTCAATATCCTGCAGTGTCCACAAGCCGGGCCTTTTCAATGCTCGGCAGCCTGACATCACTCACAGGCCGTTTTCCCCACAAGTCACTTGTCTTTGTTGGTCTTTCGGGCCGCCCGGAGGAAGAGGTAGGTGCCTATAGGGAGACCGATCAGCGTCACCAGAAGCTGTGCCTTGAGGTAGTGCTGTGTGCCACCGGAGGTCTTCCACAGCACGCTCCAAACAGCCCAAATCTCGCAGCTCGCCACCAGGGCAAACATCACCTCAGGCTTTGACGCTTTGACTTCAGATCCATCCGGCGCCTTCGACTTTTCGACTTGGGGCGGGTGGACCAAAAATGAGAAAGGGACTCATCTATTGTGGGAGGGGGGGCCCTTTGACTAGGATTATCCTCCGGATGAATCCGAAGTGAAGACTAAGATACTCGCGGCGGTTCGTGTCAAAGGGGCAGTCACTGCCAAAGCCAACATAAAAGGAGAGACACCGTGATATGGCACAAAAGTTTCAAAGGGGCTGCGCATGCAACAGCCAAGGAATAAATCATGTCTTGGCACTCGGATACTTGACTCATGGCGGCTCACTTAAATGTTGCTGACCGGTTGCCGAGGATATAAGGCGTCTCGCCACCTGCAGCGCAGCTACCTGTTTACCTCGGGCAGTGAGTTGCAAGCACATGAAGTGAGCGCAACCACTTAAAAAACTTCCACTGATGGACGAAGCCGCTTTGGGTCTATCATGGTCTATCTCGAAGACCCAAGTGAAGGGTCCGTGACCATCTATGTGCACCAGGCCGCACAAATAGCCTGCAGTTTAGACAGACCCGTGGTCAAAATAAACGGTGCTTCAACATGCACTGGCGCAACCTGCAAGACTGACAAGTGCTGCAAAGCTTCGAGGCATGTGAGTGTTGATTGAAGAACTCTAGGAACAAACGCCTTGCCTGCCTGCGCTACGATGCTGCTTTGAAGTTGTTTCGGAGTTGCAAAAGGCAACCACTGTTGGATTTCTCTGTGATCATGCTGGAAGCAAGGATTCAGTGGTGCCCGCCGCAAGAAATGTGGTTTCCAGAGATGCCGGTTTTCCTTCGGGTAGCTCTCCTTTCGACTTCCATTCAAGACCCTGCAAAAAGTGATCTTTCTGGCTGAACGCAAAACATACCGATTAAAAAGCAAATACAAGGCAACAAGAACAGGCGCAAGCCAAGTCCAACAACTCAAGCCCCCGACAACCAACCGGGGCTGTTCCACCAAGCGCCAAGGCACCCAGCAGCGCCATGTAGCGCACAGAGTCAGAGAAGGCCCAGCCAGCCAGCAGAGCCTGGGAAAAGAATCCATACGTCAGCCACGAGTGGACATGCGGACATGGGAAAGTATATGTAGCTCCCGGGGAACCCCCTGGAGTTTGTGGGGAACTTCAATGAGTTTCATTCAAAACGGCAACGGACAAAAGGTCCTTAGGACTGGTGCCCCTACAAGGAGGAGCTTGACCCAATTGCTGCAACTGATCTGACAAATCAACACAGCTGAATTTTGAGGTTCACCATGGTGCAGTTCAACCGGTAAGCCACGAGTGTTGTGGAACTCGTTTCAAGTCGTCAAAGCCCGAGGCACTGAGGGGAAGTTCAACATCTCGATCCCTCGCGACTCGCTTGTCCCGCCTTGTGCAACAAGTCATTCTCTAGCAGGGGCAAGGCGAAGACCACAGTGGTCACGCGGAACAAGCCTGAGCTTCAGGCTTGTGCTCGCTGCATTTCAAGATCTGTCTTGGTCGGAGTCGCTCCACCAAACTTGCGAAAGCATGAAATGAATGACACCACATGAGGCTCATCAGGTAACATGGCATGTGCTCCGCCACCATGCTGTTGAGACCAACCATTCCAAGCTCAGCCGACGACCAACTGCAGCCAGAGTGGCAAATCGTGATGCCCAGCGTCGTTTGCACAAGGCTGCCAATGCCTGCGTTCTCTGAGCGAGGATGCACACAACAACGCCACGAAGCACTGCATTGTTTTTCCTTGTCAACGATGCCGCTCGGTTGGCAGCTGCTCATGCTCAAAGAAGGCAACGCCACCGAGCTTCTGCAACCAGCCACTTGCATTCCAAGCCGCTGATCTTCCGTTGAAAGGTGATGACCCCAACTTCCAAGGCCATGAGGGCTTGCAGCGCCATGAAGATGCACCAGGCCTTCTCATCTTTCAGCCCAACTCCTGCATCAAGAATCTCAAAGGTCCCCCCCTCCCCAATACGACATTGAACCAACAAATACACCGTTTGTAGAGGAATCTCTGTTGGGGCACTCCTTTTTGGGCTCCATGTTAATTTGCAGGGCAGAAAACTGCCCACGACGATCGTGGCAACTCAGCTTCAATCAGGATTACAAATCGATCATTCCAACCCTCCTGGATCGAATCATGCTCGACAGTGGCACGGGAGCCAGTGCTCAAAGACAAGTTCATTGTCTGAAAAGCGCCAGGTGGCATTGTCCCATCTGTTTGTGTCCAACATTGCAAAATACTTGCTATGAACATGGGCTCTTGAAACCAAAAAAACATGTCAAAACAGCAGCTCAAACAGAGCACTTGACATTCTCACCAGGCAGGGATAACATGACGAAGCCAGACAGAGAAGCTTGCAGCTACAAGGCCCCTTCCAGTCAAGACCTTTCAAAGATGTAACATCTCTGTTCCCCAACCAATTCCACCAGAGCTTTCCTTCCGAGTTTCTCTCCCTGTCCCTGCACGAACTGGCGGCAAGCTACTCAGCCACCCTTCCTCCAAGCACGGGGTGCAGCGCATGTACCAGAAGCGACGACCATGAAATCAACGCCCCGGCATTCACGAGCGTCAGTGCAGGGTGCATGGCTGCGATGCTGCCGATTGGCAAGCTGCAGAAATTACAAGTGGCACCCGAGGGTAAAACACGCGCACCCTTGAAGGCCCTCACTTGGTATTTCTTGGTTTGTAAATTATCGTAATTTGGCCAGTAAGGACAATTATCAAGCCTTGCATTGCGGTACCCGGAAAGTTGCGACTGCCAAGTGCTGAACTTGTGTCACGTTCCAACTGCATGATCCTCCCATCACCATACGCTTGGGAAATCTGCTGTTGAGGACATCTGTTGGCATATTCAACTGCAGGCTGGAAAATACAACGCTGGGCCATGAATCTTGCCCGTAAGCGAGTCGCTGGCTTTTGAGCAGGCATGATGACTGTCTCTTCCGTCCATATGGGTCAGTCAACACACCTCAAGAATAGCGATATGAGGAACAAATTCAGGCTGTCCAGCTTTATCAACTTGACATGATGGCAGTTGCCTTGCACTGAGAAGAGCACACACCACGGGACGCCACCCCACAGACTTGTTACACATCACTACAGCTCTTTGCTACACATCAGCAATGGTATGAGCTCGTCGCAAACAAAACAAGCAACAGAGCTAGCTCAATGGCCTAACCATCTCAGGGTAGTGTACGCGTTCCTCCGGTGGCGAGCACCCCTCATTACACTCCCACCTTTTGTCTTGCCAGCCCAATTTTTTGGTGGCTTGCAGAAGCGAGAGAGGCCACGCGGTGGTGCCCGTTTTCTCCGAGAAGGACTTCAGAAGCACATGTGGTTGTATCCGCTGGCTTCCCGTTTCCCTTTAAAAGGCGGTACCCTGCAAAAAGCATACCCACACTCCTGATTATATGCGCTCAGGCAGAATATCCACCAAGATGGCATCTGTACAAATTATGCTGAGCTCGCCTGCAGCATGTCTACGCAGCATCCGGCTTGGCCACACCTTGATCTCTTGTCTAGTTGGCACTTTCAGCGCCGCGCAACTTGATTAGCTTATCCTCCCATGAAGGTGCACAACCCTCTTCTCCTTTTGGAAGACTTTATCCTCCCTGACATGAAAGCGCGCAACTTTGTTTCCTTGGAAGACTTTGCTGTGGAGCCGGTGCACTAACCCATGCTTCTGGGAGGGTAATTGAAGCTGCTCACGCAGCTCGTGTGCAGTCCTTCAAGGCACGCTCATGCAAAGGCTTTGCAGCTGTCCGCAAACTAGAACCATCATCCCACCAAACCCGAAAGTGCATGAATAGCTCTTGGAAGACAAGGCACAATATAAATGTCATATGTATAAATACTCAAGTTTTTGGCCAGAACTGAGGTGTTTGGCCAGACTGGGGGTGACAAATGCCTTGAGACTCTGAAATGAACTGACTGGACGCTCAACTCCATGCAAATTCCAACCGAGCAGAAGTTAAGCCCAATGTTGAAGGAGTTGCCAGTTGTGTGACCGTCACATTGACGTGCGCGAAGTGCACTTAAAGTCACATTGGAGTATGCAAAGTTCACTTTGGCAGCTCCAGGTCAAAAAACACAACTGTCCAGTACAAGAGTAGTGCGCGAAGTATGTTTTGGCAGCTTCAACGTGTAGCAGCTCTACTATTTTGTGTTTCTTATTTTTGTTTGGCAGCGAAATTCAACAAATCATCAACTTGGGGAAAAGGAACTCATCCTACTTCATGTCCTTGCGCAGGTGCATTTACATGTTAACTCGAGTGTTGTGCAGAATTCCATGTAGATGCTAGTTCAGTCTATTTGAAACATATGTTGCAAAGCAACTATCTCATGTGTGTGTGTGTTGCTTGTCTAACTTGGTTCAATCATCGCCAATAACAACTATTGAAGTTCAAGTAAGGGAATGATATCCAGTTTAAAACGCTTTAGAACATCCTCAATCCTGGTCCCCCCAAAACTTGACAGTTTGTTCTAGACTCATTAAGGTGTTGCCCCCTGCATTGAAGATTGAAGATCTACCATATTTTCTATTTGAGAATCTTCCGTCCTGGCCAGCCCTCAAGTCCACAAAAAAACCTGTAAAGATGTCAACAACATTTTTCCCCCCTGGCCAAATGCAGGCATTGCAAGTGCACATCCACAATCTGATTCTGACAACGTGCACTCTCGGTCTGCCTTTTGGATTCTTCAAATCCGCACTTAGGGCAATCCAGGATCTAAACATTGAAGATTCTCTGACAACTCTTTCTGAAATTCTCCAAATATGTACTTAGGGCAATCCAGGATGTGCTAGCACATCCTGGATTGACCTAAGTACCGATGCTGGAATTTAAGTCTAAAAAGGAGTGCATCTTTAGAGCCTCAATTTTAGAAGCTGGAACGTGTGTTTTGCATGCATTTTTACAGCCAAAATGTCAATCTCTGGCCAAAAACCTGGGTACCATATATATATATATATATGTATATACATATATACATAGCACGGTTTTCCATTGCAAAATCCAATGCGTGCTCTCGGTCGCGGAGCTGCTCGCCAAAATCATCGAAAAAAGAGAGCCCCTCTACGGGCTCATATGCCTATCTATGCGGCCGACAGTGAGAGCGGAGCATCAGCGTACTGTGACCATGGGGCTCTTCCGTCCAAAGACCTTGGCTCAACACTCAACCTGCCTGGCCAACTTGGCAGGCAGCACTTGAGCCGCAACAAGAGCCCTTACTTTCCAAATGAACCCAACAAGGCTGGTCCGTGAATATTTTTGGTGTGTGTCTGTGTGCATGCGTGCGTGCGTGCGTGCGTAAGTGCGTGCGTGCGCTCGTGGGTGGGTGCGTGCGTGCGTGCGTTCGTGGGTGGGTGCGTGCGTGCGTGGGTGCGTGCGTGGGTGCGTGTGTGGATTTGTGCATGTGTGCTGTGCGTGTGCGTGTGCGTGTGCGTGTGCGTGCGCGTGTGCGTGTGCGTGTGAGTGTGCGTGTGCGTGTGTGCGTGTGCGTGTGTGCGTGTGCGTGTGTGTGTGTGTGTGGTGCGTGTGTGTGGTGTGTGTGTGTGTGTGTGGTGTGTGTGTGTGTGTGTGGTGTGTGTGGTGTGTGTGGTGTGTGTGGTGTGTGTGGTGTGTGTGGTGTGTGTGGTGTGTGTGGTGTGTGTGGTGTGTGTGGTGTGTGTGGTGTGTGTGGTGTGTGTGGTGTGTGTGTGTGTGTGTGTGTGTGTGTGTGTGTGTGTGTGTGTGTGTGTGTGTGTGTGTGTGTGTGTGTGGTGTGTGTGGTGTGTGTGTGTGTGGTGTGTGTGGTGTGTGTGTGTGTGTGTGGTGTGTGTGGTGTGTGTGGTGTGTGTGTGGTGTGTGTGGTGTGTGTGGTGTGTGTGGTGTGTGTGGTGTGTGTGGTGTGTGTGGTGTGTGTGTGTGTGTGTGTGTGTGTGTGTGTGTGTGTGTGGTGTGTGTGTGTGGTGTGTGTGTGTGGTGTGTGGTGTGTGTGTGTGTGTGTGTGTGTGTGTGTGTGTGCGCGTGCGTGCGTGGGTGGGTGGGTGGGTGCGTGCGTGGGTGCGAGCGTTCCTGCGTGCGTGGGTGGGTGCGTGTGTGCGTGCGAGCGCGAGCGCTACATATATATATATATATGTATTACATATATATATATATATATACATATACGCGCACACACAAGCATATATATATACACATTGTGCATGTCAGTGTGTGTGTGTGTGTCTGTTTGTTTGTTTGTTTGTTTGTTTGTTTGTTTGTGGGGAAGTGTGGGTGTGAGGTAGGCTTCAACCCCCCATGTCTTTGTCATGGCCAAGAGCCGAACACGGAACTTTGATGACTATTCCTGGCCGCTAGGGCTGCTGCCTTCTCAGTGACCTCAGGCTCCAGCCTTGGTCCATCTTCAGACTTGAGCAGGCGGCTGTGCCCATTTATGGTTGGGACTATCCCTTACTAAACTTTACTTTCCCGGGTTTTGCTTGTGGCTCAAATGCAACTTCCTGGTTTCGGCGCTTCGGCCGTCCACTTCTACTTGGAAGCTGGTTGGATTGCACCATACGGCACCGCCAGCACCGCCATAAATAGCCGCCACTCCTATTACGGTGGTGACAATAATCATCATCGTCGTCGTCATCATGGTCGTTATCATCGTCATCATCCACCAGCTGCTACAGCAGAGCACAAGGCTGCATTGCTGTGCCAAGATTGGTGGGTGAAAGTGCCAAGCTTACACGGGTGAAACCTCTGGATTCGTAGTGAGGGAAAGGTCCCGCGCAGTTCACCATGCGCACCAGCAAGACTTAGTCAGGTGCCCATGCGGCACACACACACACACAGGTCGCTGCCAACAACAGAGCAAAGCCGGGCACACGTAAGGGCCTAGCAGAGTATACTTGCTAAGGGAAAGGGCGGCACCTAAGGCGGTAGGGGGCTCGACACGAGTTGGTCTGAGCAACAGTGCAAGATAGTGCAAGAGTCATGCACCTCAAGAAAAACAACCAACCTACACAACTTTCAAAACACGATTGCTTAGAACGGGCCAGATCCAAACTCATGGTCTGTCAGACCTGTGCTGGACATGTTAGCACTCAGTGACCGGCCGTTGAGGGCTGCGTGGGCTGGGAGCTGATCTCGGAATGGTGCGCAGGTGAGGGATGGACCGTCTCTGAGAGCCATGAGTTGTTTGGCCCTAGCGTGACTTGGTCCAGGCTCCACCTGCAAACTGCTGGAATTCGCTGATGGGGGTAGGAGAACATGCCCTTCTTTCAAAAACTCAAAAGTCCGGCTGCAACATGTTTGGGGCCTGGCCGACGGGCATGGCCGATAGGCTCTTTTTCTCCTTCCAACAATAGTCTTTTCTGGGAATGGAGTACAGCCCCGCATCGCCACACAGTCGTACCTTTTCCGCGTTGGCTATGTTGAATGGTCGACATTCACAACTTCCCACTGGCATGGGTGCGTGGCGAGACATACCTACCAAACCACTGATACTTCTTTTCAAGTCGCCCCTGCCGAAAATCAAGCACAGCCGGACGCAACACGTTGCCAGCAACTGGAAGCCCCGAAACCCGCCACGTGTGATGGGCACGCAGCGAAGATGCTTGATGCCGCCGGTCCGCCAAAAGGTATCTCCGACCCTCAAATTAAGACTTTTGCAGTGGATCTGCCGTGGGAACAAAGCACTGAACTACCAAAGAATGCCGTCTTGCGGGGAGAGTAAGTATGCGAGAGTGCATCGATTGACGACTTCAGCTCCAACTGTGGGACCCCCAGGCAAAGATAGGGTGTGCTTTCAACTCAAACAAAACAAAACCAAAAACACATGGGCCCCAAAAAAAACGAAAACTGCCTCCCCACAAAAAGGGCATCCCTCTCGCGCCGGCCTCGCAGTGTCCAGCTGCTGGCTCTCGCAGGCTTCCAGCGCCTGCGAGGGGGACGGGGGGGATGGCAACGTTTTGATGTTGGTTTCAAGGAAGCCAACAGGAACCCACCATGTTTGGGGTTTTGCTAAGAGTCCCCTATCTTGACACTCACCCAAGTCTCAACGACAAGATCTACCAAGGTTGGTTGGTCATAGGCTTGATGCAAGAGCGGCCTCAACCTTCTACCTCCTACAAAGATTGATGCACAGGTCCGTATTGGCAGACTTCTGTCCTTCCTTTTGGAAGTCAAGACTGTCAAGCTCCGTATTTGCACTACGACCCTGGCGTTGCAACCAATCGAGACAGTCGTCCTGGCAGTTCAAGGGGAACACGTGTCCTCACTGTTCAGGGGATCAAGGAGTACTCATGCGCAGCCAAATCCTGAAGGATAATTTCCTTTACGTGTTCACTCACTTCTTCAATCAGTTGCCGGAGATTCAAGTTGGGCTGTCAAACATTGGCGCTTTGCAGGACCCTGGCGACAAAGCTCTACCGGGAATGCTGGCGGAAAATGTTTGCACGACCCAACAGACCATGGAGACAGCTGATTTTAAATAAAAACCTCTCCAAGAGTGACAAAGCTTTAGTAGTCACCCCCCGACATGCGATTTGCAGATTCGTTCATATGGCTGTGGCTCAAAAAAATCATACCCAACATGTGCAGCATGGCCCCTTGATGAATGGAAAACAACGAGCAACACCTGCGTATCCCCGACTCTTGACTTGCGGAGGTCCCGCCTGGCGGGCTCGCATGCTGCCCTGCGCCAGGGCCAGGAGCGCCCGTCTGGCGGCCGCCTGGCGCGCAAGCACGTGAAAGCCCGGGGGGGCGGGGGCTGTTGCTGTGGGCCAGTTGTGTGTGTGCTCAACGGAAGCGGCCTCCTAACATGGTTGGTGTGCTTGCCTTCGTGAACAAATGGTGGTTCTCCTTTTGCCATTTCAAGTACCAACTGAAAGGAAGGGGATCCGCCATTTTAAGAAACTCCCAATTTGGAGCTGGACTTGGACCTGAGACAAAATCCGTCAGGTACTGGGGATATGTCAAAATCAGGCAACCCCACCCCAAAAAAGTAGCTTGTACTTTTCCTTCAGTTTCTCTTTAAATCAAGATGAAAGGTACCCCTGAAAAACACAAGCACACATGGCTTCCATGCCAGACCGTTGCTCGATTCTGGCCTGCGAACAAACGGAAGGAATCACCAACTTCAAAGCTCGCGGTGGGCATGTTTGGCAGAGCTATGATGCTCACATGAGACACTATCGAAAGCTACCAGTGACGCCTAGGCTTCCTCGACCTGTGTCAGCTTTCAGTATCACTTAAGACATAGCAGCTTAGCAGGCACTTTGTTGAATGGCAGTTTAGTTCGATGACCTCGGCCAGAGAGCCCTGTCCGCAAACCAGCAGCCCTCACCCAGTCTGCACCTTGGTTTGGCTGTCCTGCGAAAGCCGAGAACCACAATGGAGTCCCATCATGAGCCACGCTTTTACAGCTGTAGATGCAGTTGGTACACTGCCCCGGTCCAAACGGTATGGCTATGCGAAGAAGCCCAAAAGGATGTGCGTGCAGCATCAATGTTGCTCCAAAGGACCTTTCCCAAGAGTACATACTTGATTGCTTGCTTGCTTGCTTGCTTGCTTGTTTGCTTGCTTGTTTGCTTGCACGGTTGGTTGGTGGGTTGGCTGGTTGGCTTTGTTACTGTTTGCTTGGTTTTGCTTAGTTGCTCAGTTGTTTGCGTGTTTATTGTAAGGCCTCATGTTACCGGGCTACACTTAACTGCTTGTAGAGGTTACCTGAGTCACAAATTGGCGATACGGACTCTGAACCTATCCATGGCGGGGGGCTTTGAACATGGTACTAGTGCTGGGGTCAAACTAAGCTTGTTGCTGTCTGGCGTTGTTGTTGGCGTCGTCCTGGTGGTTGTGGTCGTTGTGGTTGTGGCTGTCGTTGTGGTTGTTTTGCTGCTGCTGCTTTTGTTGCTGCCGCTTTGCAATTTGGGTGGGATCTCATTTATGCACTATCTTCACTGGACGCGCAACATACAACAAACCTGGCGAGTTCTTGGATTTGTGGATTCTTTATGGCCTGCTAGATGGACCTTCCACATATCATGCCAGGTGCATTGACACGGTGTTGATTGACGTTTGCTAGACTGTGACTCGCTCCGCGTTTGGTGAGGATGACGATCATGATGATGATGATGATGATGATGGTGGTGGTGGTGGTGGCGGTGGTGGTGGTGGTGGTGCTGGTGGTCGGGGTGACGATAACGACGACGATGATAATGGTGATGGTGAGGTTGATGCTCTCGGCTGTGCTTCTGTTTCTTCTTCTTCTTTGTCTTCTTCTTCTTCTTCTTCTTGTTCTGCTTCTTCTTCTTCTTCTTCTTTGTCTTCTTCTTCTTCTTGTTCGGCTTCTTCTTCCTCTTCTTCTTCTTGTTCTTGTTCTTCTTTGTCTTCTTCTTCTTCTTCTTCTTGTTCTGCTTCTTCTTCTTCTTCTTGTTCTTGTTCTGCTTCTTCTTCTTCTTCTTCGTCTTCTTCTCCTCTTTCTTGTCTTCATTCCTCGTTCCTCTTTCTTTGTGCTTGCCGGCTCACGTTCGCAGTGTCCTCGCTCGCGGCCAGGTGCTGCAGCCCAGGGATGACCACCGCACTCTGCAGCACCGCGTTGCGGCAGTGGGTCTCAGACGACACTTCGGTGCGCTGCACGTGCGCTGCCCACCGACCGAATCCGGCAGTTCTTCGAGGTCCCCTGCTTGCAGTGGGGTTCTGGAGGAAAACCACGAACAAAGTGCCATTTCTGCAACTTATGTTTTTTGTTCTTTCTGAGGCTTGAAACAAGGTATCCCCAGGGGACCTTCATCATGCTGAGCTCGCCATGAAATTGGCAAATGGGCACGGGCCGTGGGGAAATTACCGGGTCCATGAAAGTGGCATCCTCAAATTTCCCAAGCTCAGTGGCGGCGTACATGGAAGCATCCCCCCAACAGTAAACTTGAGACACTCTTGCAGATTAAAATGGAACCTCCGTGTTCATTGCCGGAGAGTACCCTATTCGGGCACCCTCCGTTACCCCGTAGCTATAAACTACGTATGCCAAGTGACGCCCCTCCCAAACAAATGGCCTAATTTCCATGCACCAAGTTGTAAGACATGCCTCAAGGGTTGAAACAGCAAGCTTCATCGGAGGTGAATACGCACCACAAGGAAATGCGTGAGACGATGTGTCCTTTTCCAAAAGGCCACTCTTTCCTTCTGAACACATTTCGAACTTATCTACAGGTGACCCCTGTCCTGTGGCGCATTCCCACATATTGACAACCACCAAAACGCAACCAAACCATCACGTGCATTCCTCTACCAAAGCGCCTCCAGAGAGCTTCAAAGGTATCCCTTGGCCAAAGGAGAACCCCCGTAATCCAGGAAGCTTCTAGGTATTTCAGGTACCCCCTTTAACATTCAAACACTGAACATCTAGCACAGGCGAAACATGTTCTCATTTTTTTTTTTATATCTCTGTTGATAACTGCTCAATGTCATGCCACATGTTCAACTCCTGATTCAGTGGGTTCTGGCAACCCAATGGGTAATCAAAAAGCCATCTAGGTCATCTCAAAAGCTTTGGCAGCCCAACTCCGCGAGGCGATTCCGTAGAAGCCAGGACCCTGCTTTGGAAGACTCATAGCGGCCAGGAGCTTCCATGGAATCGCCTTTCTGGGTAGCCTTGCGGGTGACAATCAATGAGCCGTCAGGGTATCCTATTTCTAACAGTCATTCAAGCAGACAGGGGGTTGCCTCTTGAAAAGGCCCATTGTCCTTCCATGCTTTCCAACAGGTCAAAACTCTTGACTAAGAGGTTCCCGTTGGTGGATGAGGAATGGAACGGTAAAACCGCAAGTCGTGGACAAAAGAGGCATGCTTCACAAGGGGAACAAGCTACAAGCGTAATCCTCAAAAGGAAAAAGGGTAACACGGGATCACTCAAAAAGCCACGGGTTCCCTTCCGAACATCACTCCACCAAAACTGAACTCACTTTAGGTTGACCCGAAAGGTGATGTCAAAAACCACCACACGTACGACGAGAACCGTTGCAAAGGAAGCCCTGATAAAAACCGCGCGGCATCCACGCTGGAGAAGTTGGCCAATGCCACGGCAGCCTCCACCGACAAATTGATGCCCGCGATGGGCGCCCTGAGAAATCACACGGGCGGTTTACAGACTTAAGACAGCGAACCCTCGTTCATGTTCCCAGCATCTGCGAGCATTTTGGATGTGTCAAACCAGCCCCATTGCAGTCGTCGTGGTCTCTTGTAAAGATCCGATCTCATGACAATGGGCCCCCGCCTATCGGGGAAATGAAGCAGGGACCAACAGAGAGGTTGGGGGCAGCCCCCAAAAGAGTGCAATGGCTCACCGTACTGGAAGGAACAAAGCAGTTAACCTCGCGCATCTGCGGAACTGCTACAAATACAACAAGGGCCTGAACAAGTCAATTAGACACGGCTGTAAAATAACAACAAGTAACCATTCTAGGGGTAACTTCCCCATTCTTTCCAGGATCCTTCTTTCTAGAAAACCACCAAACACCTGGGGAAGTGGCTGGTTTTTGAAAAGAACTATTGCCAAACAGAATGGGGAATCAACCCCTAGAATCATACCTAGAATCATAGGAACAACACGTCATTTGTTTAGCCTCTCCTTTTTCGGTTCTAAAAGTGCGTCTGTGCTGCTCATCCGTAAGCAGCGCCGTCAGTAGGGGCTGCACCGCCCCGCCATGCAAGATCTTCCGTGCCGCGGCCTTGCGCTTCGCTGCCGGCTGAAAACTCGAGGCTAGGCCGGAGGGTCCAGCATTGCGTTGGGCTTGGCTGGCTAAATGGCTGACTGGCTAAGTGGCCAAATGGCTGGTTGATTGGATGATTGGCTGAGTGGGTCGAATGGTTGATCGATTGATCCATTGGTTGCTTACGTAGCTTGTTTGCCGCATTGAACCCATACGAAAAAGGCATACCGTTCCTCTGGCAGTAGGTCCAGGAGAAGTCATCGAGCTTGTTGGACTGGAACCGAGATCACTCGAACGTCAGCCGAACAGAAAGTCTTAAGGCAACACAATTCCCGGACCTGACCACCTGGGATGCCAATGGGAGCACCCCCTAAACATCGATGATGTTCCCATCAGGCCATTGGATTCATTCCCACCAAAAGAAAACTCATTTTAAGTTGGCCCAAAAGGCGATGCGTGAAACCACCACACTAGAGTCACCAACGCGACACACACGACTGCAATACATGCCGCGGCTCGATGCGCTGGAAAGGCGGGCAGCGCTCCACAGGCGTCCCGCCAGAAAAAGCCACCGGTGATGTCCAAGCACAACCCAAGAACCATCAACAGAACATATGAAAACTTAGGCGAGCTACCACGCCTGAACGGATTAGGTCTTCATTTGTACCTTAACAGCAATCTCTCGCTTATTTCACGTTGCCGCACCTTCCGCTGCAGCCCCTCACCCAAAGCCGGTCCGCACCTCAAACATTGAGTTTCTAGTGGAGAACCTGTTTCTAAACCCTCCACACCTTTTCTTCTCAACCCTTCGTTCTGTTTCAACCCTGGCCCCTATTTCTTTAACCCAGGGTGGGTTTAAGGTCTGGGGTTGGTTTAGGGTGGGTTGGAGAGAGGTTTGGTTTCCTTTTGTTCCATGACCAGGGGATGCAAAGACTGGAACCCTTGATACTGTATCTTTACAATATGTATGCTGTATATGGATATAAAAACGGCCCGTGCATTTATAGGGGGCGCGGCCAATGGCCAAAACAGTCTTTGCACTGATGTCTCTGTGAAATATAACATGTAAAAACAAAAGGGAAAGAAGAAGCAGAAGAAGAAGAAAACAAGACAAAAAAGGAAGGGGAAAGAAGAAGAACACGCAAACAGGAAGGGAAAGGAAAAGTGAAAGCCTTGAAAAGGAGAGGCCTTGGAAAAAAGGGAAGGAGAGGCCTTCCAAAGGGAGGCCTTCAAAAAGGAAAGGAGAAGCCTTCAAAAGGAAAGGCCTTCCTCCACCAGACAAGGCCTTCAAAAGGATAGGCCCCCAAAAGGAAAGCCTTCAAAAGGAGAGGCCTTCAAAAGGAAAGGCCTTCCAAACAAAGCCCGTCGGCCTTTCAAAGGAAGGCCTTAAAAGGAAAGGAGAGAGCGCCTTGCAGGAAACCAACCTTGCTCGCTGCCTCTTTATGGAGCATGTTGGTGAAGTACTCACAATGCAGCATGGGCTGAGGTGGGAGCCTTCTTTGGAGAGTTGGCGCCTTTTTCGCCGTGTGAGATTCCGCCAACGCCTTTTCCATCATATTGGTGCGCAGCTGCAGTTGTTGCAAACACCTTTCTTGCGGAGGCTATTGCGGTTTTATACACTGGACGGTTGAGTTGCAATCGGGTAAAGGAGGGTGTTGGATGCCCTGGAGGAAGAGAGCTAGTGGCAAAGGATCCACACGCAAACATGGAAGATGACATTGTTGCAGACTATTCAGCTGGAATTCCTCAGAACCCGGAACACAGGCCTATGGCATTGCACCTCCGGTCAGGTCGGGTCGTCTCGAGCCGGACGTAGACCCAGCTTATCGACGTTCTACCTGTTGAAGGTGTCCAACCTATAGACCATGGAGGGGACGATGGTAGCCCTGATGAGGAACTACATTCACTGGATAACCCTGTTGAAAACGAGGGCTCTGACACAAGGATGGTCCCAAGGATGCATGCTGCTGCTTTTCCACTTGACATGTCATCTTTTGCTGAAGCGTGCTGAAGGAGTCAAGCGCACACCTTTGGTCACGGTTGGGAAGCCAATTTTCGCCAAAGCCTTTTGCTGCTTGACTGACGCATCCTTGGCAAGATTGGTCCCCGTTGCCTTGCGTGCGCGGTACGGCGTCTCCCTGGGCCGCTTGCGGCCGTTTGCCGGGACGATGCCTCCCGCTGGACCCTGATCACTGCAGCTGTCCTCCTTAAAAATCAGCTTGGGCGGGAGCTTCGTGCCTGCTCCCACTCCAAGCACCGAGGCTTTCCGCCCTCGCCCTCCCACCACGTCTCCGCCAGAGCTCTCGGAGTCCCAACGGCCCCCGCCTCGGACGAGAGCCTTTGGCGGTCTTTGTGCTCCCAACCCTTTGATGGAAACGCAAAGAAAGGCCCGGATAAAATCACCACAATTTTACAAGTCTTCGCGAAGTTGCCGGACGGCGCTCCAACCGCCGCGCTGCTTTCGCCGCTCGAACTGCCTCCGGGTCATCGCCCTCGCCCCGTTCAGCCGCCTGCGATAGAAACAGATGCAGGGACAAAACAGTTTGTGGAAACGTCTCGCAAAACTGGTTTGTTCAAGCCCCTGTCCTCCCGCTTCATCTTCTGGCGCATGGCCTTCTGGCCAACTTGTGCTCAGCCGGCACAACCCCGTGACCGTAGGCAATCGTCAGGTAATCCAAGATTGCCTCCGACCGGCCAAGAGACCAAACAACATTCAAAGGCTGAAAGGTCACACGTCTCCTGGAGGCAGTTCCAGTGGTTCTCGATGGATTTCTCCAACAAGGTTGCCTCTGGACTAAGTTCCAGGAGTTGCAGCCGGGCTTTGAGGTGTCTACAAAGTTCGGCACGTAGCGGGCAGCAAGGTGTCCTGCATGGCCTCTACCTCTCGCCCCGCAGCTCAAGGAGCCGGGTTAAGAGCCATGACCATGGTAGACGAGCGAGAGAAGCAAATGCAGATTGGGCGCCCAAAGGCTGCGGATCGTTCGGAGTTGTTCGGCGGTCATTTGGACAAATCAGTCTTTGCGTTCCTTTGCCTTAAACTGTCCGGTCTGGACAAAGCAGTCTCTGGAAACTCTTCGTGGGACTGTCGGATTGGAGTTTCGTGTGGACCCTGGCCTCATTTTCGCAGCATGCGGGCAGTGATAGCGTGGACCGATCAGGCTTTAGCTGCTCGGCGTGAAACAATGTCTACGACCGATCAGCCTTTGGCCGGTGTGAAGCAGTCTCTGCAATGCCCTTGTTTCTGACATTGCTTATCTCGCCCAAAGCAGGCTTTGGGTTGGGATTGCCATGAGCGTCTGGCTGACATTGCTCATCTGGGCGGACCTCTGCAAAAAGCAGTCTTTGGCCGAAATCCAGTCCCCTTAGCCTGATCAGGCTGGTTTGGTAGCCCGTGGCCCACCTCCAAAACAGTCTTTGGATCCAGACCTCCCTGACCTAATGTAGGTTTATGGATTTGGGCGGGTGGGTTTAGGGTGGGCTTAAAGTTGGTTTGGGAGTAGTTGAATGGGCGGATCAGGGATTGATTTCGGGTTAGTTTCAACTGCAGTTTAGGTTGGCTTTGTTCAGACTGGGCTTACCGTTGGCTTAGGTTTGATTGAGGGTGGGTTCACAGGTCTGTGGTGGGTATAGGGTTGAGAAAGGTCATGTGGTGGATCCAGTGTTGGTTACGTTTCTTTAGGGAGGCTTCGGGTTGGCTTAGGCTTGACTTAAGGTTGGTCTAGTGGGGTTAGTTCGGGTTTAGGGTTGATGGTTGGTGTCAGGAGTTGTTTTAGGCTAGGTAGGGATGGTTTTAGGCTTGAGGTTGAGAATTGTGTTAGGTTGGCTTGGGCTGGGTATTTAGGGTTGGCTTTCGCTTGCTTTAGCGTGGGTTTAGGTGTGGTTAGGATTGGGTCAGGCTGGGTTTAGAATTGGGCATAGGATGACAAAGAGAGAAAAACAGAAAAGCAGAGAGAGAGAGAGAGGGAGAAAAAGAGGAAAAGAGGGAGGGAGAGAGAGAGAGAGAGAGAGAGAGAGAGCGAGAGAGAGAAAGAGAGACAGAGAGCGACAAAGAGACAGAGTGACACAGAGGCAGAGAGCAAAGATGCAGAGAGCGACAGAGAGAGAGAGAGAGCGAGAGAGAGAGAGCGCTAGAATTTAGGGTTGTTTCAGGCAGGTTTAGGGTGGGTTGTTGGTTTTGGCTTAGGGTTGGTTTGGGGCTGGGCCGAGGTGAAAGCAATGACGTTGTGAGTGAAAAAAAAGCAAGCTTGCGTGTGAACAAACGCGAAAACAAGGCCGGGGGGTGGGGAGGTGACAGACACAAAATGAGGGGTTGAAAAGAACGGATTCCTGAGGGTTAGAGAAACAAGGTTCCTGTAGAGGGTTCCCAAGCTAGGTTTGAGGGTCAACAGAAGGAAGAGTTGAAAAAGAGCTTGGATCATTGGAGGATGAAAAAAAAAGGGGAGCCCCATTCCAATTCACGCCTTGCTCACGACGCACATGTTGCCAAGTGCACGGGCAGCCTGCAGTGCAAGCTTGCACAGTGCATGTCAGTGCCCAAAGTGCAGAGCCAAACAAGTCACAGGATTGCTGTCGGCAAAGTGCAAGCCCCGCACAAGGTTCAGTGCTCTCATGCCTACCAAAACAGGCTCATCGATCTGACACTCGGTGCAGAGTCACTTCCTTCAAAGAGCCAGCTGAAACACCTGCCTAAGAGTTCAGCGGGGAATTTAAAGGTTCCTGCTTGCAAAATGTCATGTGGGTGGGGTTCAACCAAAAACCAATAAAAGCTGGGAACCTCCCTTTGGCCTGTCAACTGCAACGACCCACACCACATCCCATCCGAATAAGACGTCATGGCTCGCCTGCGCCCGGCATCCGTAGCTTTCGACGCCCAGCAGGTACACGAGGGCTTGGACCTGGAGCGCAGTCTGGGGTTCACCACTAACATCAAACCCACCAGACAGGACTCCCAGTCGAGTTCCTTAGTGGGTGGGATTTGAACTATTACATCACGCTTTTGCTTTCGTCAGGTGTGTGGAGAAATATATTGCTCTTCTGAGGCTGCCATTCTATTTTCGCTTCGCCCAAAAAGACTCAAACCCAGGAGACCTTTATTCTATCAAATGACCCGCCCCTGGGCGCATGATCGTGTCCATTGGGCTCTGACAAGCTTGGCAATGGACATGCAAACGGCTGGTCTCCAGAAATGAGCCCAGCTTGCTCCATGCAACGTTGCAAACGCTTCAGGGACCGGGGCAAAGTCGATCTCTGCTTGCAATCGACCTTTGAACTCCACACTCTCAAGCATACAAGCCGTCAGTTCGAGACATCACACCAGCCAAAGCCAACAGCCTGCAACAGCTGCTTCCGTTTGCTCACAGTCAGTCTTCAGCCTAATGCCTTGCCCTTGCAGCTAAGCGCACCCCTCCAGCATCCACAATGGTCTGTGCATTGGCGGCGTCGCCTAAGTCGCGAGATTACGCGAGTGCTACATGCAGCAATTGTGGAAATCAACATAGAGAGCGCGGACTGGCTACTAGAGTGCAACGACTCGTGCTTCAGGACACACAAAGCTCTTTGATAAGTACGCAAAGTATGATACGAGTCAACAAGGCAACATCACACATTGACAAACCGTAATCCAGCTTAGGAACCAAGTCAATGACTCTACCAGTATTTTGTTTTATATAAAGTACATATATTATTACTAGTATTTGCACTATGATTACTACTATTGCGTCTACTATTGCTATTACTATTACTTGTGTCGTCGTCATCATCATCATCATCATCGTCATCGTCATCATCATCATCATCATCATCATCATCATCGTCATCATCATCATCATCATCATCATCATCATCATCATCATCATCATCATCATCATCATCATCATCATCATCATCATCATCTTGTGTTGTCATCAACATCATGATTGCTGAAATGATAACTATTATTATCACTATCAATTTGTTCTTCCCATTATCATTACTGGCATAATTACTATTATTACGATTATCATTATCAACATTATCAACATTATCAACATTATCATTAATTCATAGTACCGTTGCGTTTAATACAATTGTCAACATTGCTACTACTATTGTTGGCATTAGTTATTAGTACTAGTATTCATTCTGCCGTATCAAAGTCGACCCCATTTGGGGTGTGTTGAAGAGAAGCAATCCCAGTATCTGACTCATATGACCCCCTAGAAACAGTGCTCTTTCTGCAGCATAACCTTCTCAACCTTCTTGACATGGTGAGCATTCGCAAGCTTTCTCATTCATCTGAACTCGTGCCAGGCAGCACATTGGCAGATTCGCCAACGCTCGTGCAGCATGCCTCGGCGAGGTGAAACTCGTCGTCGGCATAGAATGCCAATGTGGCTGAGACAGCAGTTCTATGGTAAAGTCGTCTGAATAAGACATCTGAACAAAAGTGTCAGCTGCTCAATGCAAGCGGCGATCTGCCCCTTGTTCGTGGCCGACATGTCACTAGTTGAATCCAGACTCAATCATGGGGCTGACAAAGGTCACCGAAAGGGTCCACCCAAATGGTTGCAGCAAGTTCTGAAATATCCGAGCGGCTCCCGCAAATCCATGGACTCTCCACGCGTCACCGCCTGGCTTCTGGCCGGGAGCCGAGGGAGCTGAGAGGCGGGAGGCGAGCGACCTTGAATCCATTTCAACAAGGATACGGGCGACCAGAAAGGCAAAAGGGCCCGTGAATAGACGCGGGCGCCCAAGCTAGATGGGAATTACTTGAAACAAACTTAAGCCAACAGGGTGACTTTTTCATCCAATCTCGCAGGCTCAATGTTCGGCCAAACGCCTCTAGCATTCTCACGGCAGTCCTGGAGCATGGAAGCCTCTCACTAGCTTGGGCTGGGCTTGTCTCTAAGGGGAATCCCCTTTTGGGCGGCTTTGAACGGAAATCAAGAGAAAACCATGAACCTCATTTTCAGACAAACCTATGTTAAGCGGATTTTTGGAGATTCCCTAGTCTTGAGACCCCCCCAAAGCTGGGGCGTTTGGCACAGCCGAGCCCAGCTCTGCCTGCACCAGCAGCGGCACTGCGTCGGCCATCCATTGAGATCGTCGCTGCACCTTCGGGTTGCACGGTAGCCCTGCGGATTTTGGCACCCAAACCAACTGGAGGGTTGTCAAAATCAGTGTCCCCATTTGGTAGGGTTTAGGGGTTTCCCTTAATTTTGAGACCCCCAACTGTTGAGACCTATCAACTTGTCGCACAACCGGGACTGCTCCCAACTCTGTCAGGTCAATGAGTCACACGGCAGGTCAGAAAGACCCCTCTGGCGTCAACCCGGTGGATCCCAGGCACGCCATTGTAGACTCACCGTTTCGTGAACCCTCCATCTGATTCATTGGGCCCATCCGTCCGCCTTCCGCCTTGCGATGCTGGCAATCCCGGCGGCAGCTGCCTGCTGCTCCACCACGCGGCCCGTCCGCAGCCTGGGCTACTGCCCAAAGCGAGTACGCCAAAACCAAGCACCGCGTAAATCGGTGGGTGTCTTTTGAGGCTACCCTTATGCGGGTGGTTTCAAAGTGAAACCACGGGGAAAACAAGCATTTTGCAAATTCCATTATTTTGACACACACCCGAGTGTTAGAATAATGGACAATGGTGAAACATGTTCCATGTTACTTTTGACTTTTGAGTGTTTTTCCCGGACATTGTGACACGGGATCCACAAATACAAGCCCTACATGGTGAGATTGTTTTACCTCCTCCAGGCGAGGTCGCCATCAGATTGCTGGCACCTCCCCGCCTCCAAACTCCAAGTTTGGTGAACATGCATTGCAAGCCGATGAATTTTGATTGGTGGCTGGTGGCAGATTCTTGAAGGTATGCAAGGAATGCCACCCCAAGCTGTGCGCAAGCCACGCCTGGCTATCATTGCTTACCCTGATGCAGCATCAGTACGGAAAGACATGGTAGCAGAAAGGCAGCAACTACAACGCGACACAAAGAAGCGTGGCATGCACACAGAAGCCGTCCGGAAGCATTTGTCTGGTCGGGGGTTTTATGATATATCTATGCATTGTGAATGAGACAAACAATGCTCATAGGGGTCTGAGTTGAAAAGCAACCCTCTGCGCCTCCTTCAGGAATTTGCTCGAACTTGGCTCAATTTCCCCCCACTCCTGGCAACATCAAGAGCCTGGCGCCTTCTCAACTCGGCGCCCCGGCTGCTCTACGCATCCATCCGGATCGCCCACTGTGCAGCAGCAGGCCTTTGTTCATGGGCGAGGACATGCACAGCCTAAGGTCCGCCCCATTTTGGATTTATAAGTAAGCATGCAAGCTGACAGAGGCTTCTGGATGGAGCAAAACAGTTCTCCAGGAGGTTACTTTCATGATCAATGCTTGATTTTGGGAGGGTATGCATCAGGCGCCACCTCTGATCAGCAAAGTAAGATTCTGCCAGGCAAACGCATGCAAGCGTTTGAGGGGTGACTAATCAGCTCTGGAGAGTTTCCCAGAGCATTAAGGGCCTAGCTCGGTTGGCACTGCATTTAGGCCAATGCAGCCAAAAGTGACAGGCCCGAAACAATGCGCATGCCTTGGCGGAAGCCAAGCAAGCTTTCAGATTGCAATCTGCATGAGTTGCCTTGCGGCATGCTGAGCTTATCCTACAATTGGTTCATGAACATTTGGGAATCTCTAGATGTAAGCTGCAAATGCAGGTGCATACCCCGCAAGCCTGCGTCAACAAAAGCATTCAGCGTGTCAGACTACTGCCACACTGGGTTGGCCACTATACACTAATTGATTGGGCGATGCGATACGGGCTCCAAACCTCTCCACTGTAAAAGTGCAAAAAGTGCAACCAGGCCAGGTCAACCAAGAAGCAGTCCCGATCAGAACGTGTCCAGGTCCAAACCCCAAAAAAACAAATGGCGCACAGCCAAGCTGTCTCAAACGTGACTCACAACTGTCAGCTTCCTGGACAAATATTCCATCACGCACCAAGAACTCTCACATTCTGCGGCTGGCTCTTCAACCGAGCAGCAGAAACTAAACTTTACACGAAAAGAACTAGGCCCCTAACCCAAAGCAAGGACTTGGGCTCTGAATAATGCCCACTAGATCGCTGCGCATCAAAGAGAGGATTGCCTATGTTGAAGCCACAAAGCAAGAATGGGTGCATGCACCCGCATCCTTCTTGGTTATACGCTGTTAAACCATCTTTGGCATCCCCTCGGAGGGTCTCAGGCCCAACTGTTTCAACCATGTTTGCCGCTTGCTGCCAGGAGGTCATGACAGCACCCTCCAACCAGGTGGGCCAAGATGCTGTTGAAAGCGGCACGCCCATTGCGAGAGTCGACTAGTCGACTGATATCTGTGTGTACGCGAGAGATTCTCTGTGCTTGACTCACCTTTGTTGCTTGCTGACATGAAGCTGCCACGGTTCACTCCATCTCTCTCGCTCTCTCCCTCTCCGTTTCTCTCTCTAGCTCATGATATTTTGCTTGTCTTGAATGTTTGGCGCAGCCTGACGATTGCCTGAACAGCCGCCTTCACACGTCTTATATGGATTATATGGGCTCCATGTCCGCGTACCGAACCTCGGCCGGACGTCAAATGCACAAGCCGAAATCAAGGCTCAAAATTATTCCGTTGGACATGCGGGTGTCTTCGCATTATGTGTTCAAGTGGTCAAGACTGTGAATGGTCTTCTGGCCTGGCAAGCATCTGCATACATGTGGCATTTAAACATCCGCTCCACAATGTATGCCATGTGCAGCTTGCTGCCAGCGCCTCATGGCGCTTTGCATCTCAGGTTGGGATGTTGTGACCCAACTGGCTGATGCGCGAGTCGGTATGATATACAAAAGCTCTATAATCAAAGGATGGTCTTCTGGTACAAGCCATCTCTAGCAATGACATTTGCAGAACTGTATGTTGATGCGCAAGGTCTAATGGCCATGTTGAATGATTCAAAATTCATCGTCATCAAAACCAAGCTGCCTTCTTCTGGCAAACCACACATGTGCCACGGTCAAAACTCCTCATGTGGCCATGGGCCATTGTCATGTTCCCACGCAAGCAACCATTAGGAGCGATTAGGAGGGTTCTCCAAGTTTCCTACTAAAGAGTGTATGACCATCTCCAGTCATCCCAAGAAAGCACACTTTTTGACAACGGCAGAGATGAGTTGACAACTTTGAACACATCGTAGTACATTCCAATCGGACAATTGCAGCTCATTAATCGAAGTGGCCTACTTTGCGATTGATCAATACGTCAGCAACTGTAGAAAGTGCAAACCGTGTAGCTCCGTACATGCTGATTGTTTGTGTCTTTCAGAAGTGCAGCAATTCAAGCAACAGCACGCTGAGACTGCACCCTTGTTTCTTTTCCCTCTTCTCTGCCATCATGCCTTCTCGGCAAGTATGAATCGAGATCCGGTCGTGCGGAAATGTTGGGTAGTGTACCTGGCCAGCTTGCACCGTCGAGGGGGCGCTGTGCCAACAAATACAGCCCTGGCTTGCCCGATCGAAAAAGATCTGGGGTGTGGCTCACTGTTTGAACTTGCAAATCACATGTAGTTGTTGTAATGGTCGTGCACGACGACTCTGGCCTCTATGCCATAAGCAAGCTGGCCGCTTCTGACTTCTGACCGAAGCTGACTGTGCTTCTGGCCTCTTCAAAGGCTTGCAGATCGACAGCTCCTCCTGACAATGCCATTTCGATTTGTGCATTCCCTTTCATGTGACAGACGTTCAAAGCTTTTGAACTGCCTCCCCCCCCGCCCCGCACTTGGGTGCAAGTAGACACATCCCACATGTTCCCCTTGAGGGTGCATCACCACCAGTACTTGCCTACTTTCACCGCCAGTACTTGCCTACTTCCCTGGAGTACGCCACTTCCGACGCCACGCGACGCAGAAGTGCCTAGGCCGGAGCCAGATTGGAGGACACGGGGTTGAAGCCGTAGCCGCCCGGAGCCTGGCCGGCGCCGAAAAGCGGCCGTTTTTGAGGGAACCTGCGGTGGAGTGGGGTGTAGTGGGGTATAGTGGGGTATAGTGGGGTATAGTGGGGTGGGGTTGGGGCGTGTGGGGTGGCGGCCTGGCGGCCTGGCGGCCTGGCGGCCTGGGCCCCCACGCTTGAGAGGTCTGCGACTTTCAAGCTGAAGCGTTGCTTGCGGCAATTGCGCGCTGACAAACACAGAGGCACGATCAATTCCATGCAACATTCTACACAGACTGGAGACTCGTCTCACACCTACGGTCTGCCAGGAATTTTGGGGCTGGTCTTTGGAATACCTGCTTCTGCTGGCCGGCCCCTTTGGGCAAAGCTCGGCATATCCCAAAACAAACTTAACTCTAAGACAGCCTGCAAAAAGCGCAAACCAAACCTGCTGAGCCAAAGAAGCTATTTCCGCACAGTCTACCTCCACTTGGCAACTTGGTCCAATTGGCCACTCTGTCAATCTGCAACTTGGATCCACTTGGACCCATCCCGCCAAATTGCAACACAAAGTATATAACGAGTCAGGGAATGAAAAGACAGTATCCAAGGCTGGCAAGGACATCCATGCTTGATGCCCCTTAATGTCAAAACTGAAGGCATGTCATCCCTTGTCCAAACAGCAAAAACCTGTCAGCGTCATATATAAGCGGCACGCCGGTAAGCGCAGGCGGGGGCCACATTCTGCATCGGCATCGTCGGAGGCTTGCTCATCATGCCACTCATTCCCTGGCCGCAGCGCCCAGCACTAGCCGTTCTCCCGGAATCAGACGTTGTTGAAAGGAGCATCAAAGAATTCCCCCAAAGATACCTACTGGATACAGCCAAAAACCGCCTGCTTCAACAAGAAGATCCTCTAAAAGTCAGCTGGTACAGGTGGTTTCAGGGTGTCTTAACTGGTCTCCTTTACACAAGTCTGCAAAAGATCCGGTGGCTTTCAAAAAACCCCAGGGTTGGGCCAGTTTGCCTGTGGTTGCTCCTCTGTGGGGGCTAGGGTCTGTTTGTTAAAACATTCTGCCCGACCAAACGAACAAAGTGGGGTCTGAAGCGAGCCGTCAGCCGGCCTCCATTCCCTGGCTGGCAGCCAAAGGCCGGTAGCTGGGCACATTGAATCCTCGGAAAGGGGCCGAGATCCGGAGGAACCCGTTTTTGCGGTTCGAAAAAGGAAATCTTGGGGGTTTCTTCATTTCAGAAGGCATATTGCCATGTTATCCAAGGCGTCAAAGGGTTTCCAAGCCAAGCTCAGTGAGCCAAAAGGTGGGTCTGCAACCTGCAAGAATCTTGTAATCTTCCGTGAGGCGCTTCACGGCGTGCTGAGCTTTGCCAAGGTTCTCAAAGAAGCCCGCAAAATAGGAGGTTCTCTATCGATGTCCCTTTCAAACCCAAAAAGGGTACCATCACAGACATACACGCAGAAATACTGCAGCATTGTTGCCTTAGATTTAGCGTTGGTAGAGGAGTCGCAACAGTGACTTTTCCGACCTCACACGAGTCGTCCGAGTTCCCGGACGACGGATCTCCTCATGCAAGGCGTCGATGTAGGCAGCCTCCGGAGAAGGCACTGGCGTTCCGAGTACCAAAGAAATGGTCCCTGAGGAAATGGTCCAAACCAAAGAAGCAACTGAAGTACCTCGGCTCTTGCTTAGTGGTCCTGTCTTGGACCCCCTCTCAAGGGGACCCTCTGGTTCCTGGGTTCCTCATGGTTCACATTCCAGCCCGTGCCCCGCCTGCTGCTTGTGTGAAGCAATCAGTGCTTTCAGGTCAGGCCCTGCCTCGCAAAGGGAAAACCCCACGTGCGGCATGGAGCGTCAGCAGCAAGTCAATCTAAGGTCCTCTACACCAAGCTCCTTCTTCAGCAAAGCCCAGTGACTAAACTTCTAAACTTCATTCAAGTTGGAAGTCTGAGCTACAAAACCACGCCGCTTCCCGAGAAAAACGCCAACCACACCCGCAAGCAAGGGCTCTGCCTGCGTCTTCACATCCTCCCCAACGAAAATGGAGCACGTCTGTCGTGTGCCTCTCTGCACCTGCATCTGAGAGTTTGAGTTGTGGCCAGGGGAAGCTGCGGCAAAAAGAAAACGCGGACCCGGCAGTTGTTCATCATTTTGTAGGCCGATGCGGCACCCCCGGCAAGCTTGCGACTAATGAAGCCCACTAAGTTCAAACCCTGTGCCTATGCGTGCATGTGTCAGCATGTGTCAGCATGTGTGAGAAGGTGTGAGCATGTGTGAGCATGTGTGCATGTGCGCCCGCGTGTGCGTGTGGGTGTGAGAGTCCTCTCCGATGGTGCCCGAAATCTTCCGGATTCAAGCATATTTCTTTAAACGTATTGAACAAATGAACTGATGCTCAGACTCCCATGCCTCGAAAGCAGTGCCGATGATGGACACGCAAATCTTCGGCCTCACAGCGGCGGTTACGTGCCTGGCAAGCCACAAACTCCGACGGAAAAAGGCTGCAAGCAGGCCTACTGGAAATTAGCAAGCCTACAGATTCCCTACTTTCTGGCCGCATTTTCTTTTGGAAGGCTTGACTTGCCTTCCTCCACGATTTCAATTTGCTGAGAGCAGCAAAACCAAGCAGTTGACAGGTGTGCAACTAACTACGGACAAGCTGATACATCCAGTTCACTGGTATGCAGCTTGCATTTGACATGCAAATACTTTGAGGAATCTTGCATGAACATGGACCGCAAACAGTGCAAAGCTCTTAGAGCTTACGTTGGCCGCGCACTTGCTTTTGCACGGTTGATCTGCATGGGACATTCTCGTCCCAGAGACGTTGACTACATCCACTTCCGCCCTCCCTAAATGCAAGTGGCTGGTACACGTCGCCGACTGCGTCGGCGTAGGCCTCCGAAGTGCTGCACTCTGCTTCCAAGCATGCAGCTTGGGGTGTGCCTAAAATGCCTTGCCTCCGGTTTTTCCTTCCAACAACCCTGGTTCAGGGCAGCCCCAATTCCAAGCGCCTGCTCAAAGCCGCTCACCAAGGACTGCAGATCGCCCGCCGGCATGCGTGGGTCAGTCTTGGTGTCCAAGTTGAACCACTGTTGGAAGATGCCTTGGCATGGGTTTGTTTCAAAGGGGCCCCTTAAATGGTCCGTGTCTTTTTGTTTCCATTTAAATACCAACCAAAAGGGGATCCGCCATTTTCAGAAACTTGTCCAGTCCAGGTGCTCCTCACACACACACACACACACACGGTTGTCTGCCCAAAAAGCAAGATTGCACACTAGCTGCAGCGTACAGCGGCTAGGCATACCAACAACAGCAACGGTAGGTTTATTATGCTGCTTGTTTCTGCGTGACTCACATAGGGCAAAAACAACTGGTTAGGTGACCCCCTCCTTTGGGGCATCTGGGCAGTTGACTGCTCCTTTGACTGCCGTTGGGGGCTAGTGGTGGGGGGCCACAGCGTTTGACCAAAGACAGGGTCCGTTAAAGTCACATCCTCAAAATTATCTGAGCGCAACCGTGGTCGAAAGAGAAACCACCATGTCTCAAAAGTGATTTTGAGAATCCGTCAAAATCCTTTCTGCAAGGGACTCAGTAAGAATTATTGCCCAAGCTGCAAGCGCCCCGCAAAACAAATAACCAGGAAGGTCACATTCGATTGCCGTTGGCGGATTGGCGAGAAAACCTCCGGCGCTCTGGACCAAGTTGCCGGAGGAGTAGCGCTCCGCAAGGCGTTCGATAGGCACCCGCAGCAGGCCCAAACAACGAGCGGTCTCAGGGGTAAACACCTCAAAGGTCAGACCGCGAGTTGTACTGACACTTGCAGAGGATCCTCCACCGCCAATGATTCGAGAAAGCATTGTACTGATTGCGGGTTGTCGACATCCGTTCCTCTCCACCTGAGCCTGACAACAATCCGTCCAATGGGGAGCCACTACATAAAACTCACCAGCAGCAAGAACATCTTGGTCAGCATCGTCCACGTGTCAAATGCAGGAGTAGCCGTCCAGCATCCAACATTTTACTGAAGTCTCAGTCTGAGACAAAACGACTTTCACAGACACAGTTGACTGGAGTGTGCAAAGCCTCAATACAGGCAACCAACCGCAACAAAGCAAAGCGTATGTCAAACACGGCAAGTACACACAGTCTTCGGAAGACATGGAAAGTGGTATGTGACAGTATGTGACTGTGACGCGCCTCAAGGTTGAAGTAAGCTAGAGTCGTTACTTTGGCTTGAGTGCTAAAGCACTGGGCTGACTGAGCAAATCTTTGCCAGCACATGAACCCTGGACAAAATTGATGGTTTCCCCAAGAGCACATGGGGATCTTGATGTGGGCTCCCTGCATCACGTTGGAGCAGGGTTACTAACCCCCGTTAGTTGACGTGATGCTAGCAATTACTGTCAAGTTGTCCCTTTAATTTCTCTTTAAATCAAGTAGTATACAAATAACGTCATATTGTCAGTGCCTCACATGGTGCTTTTCTCGCTGAGGCATTCGCAGGTTCTGGGCACTCGTAGACCGTGAAGGTCAAGACTGTGGTGATACCGACCTGCCAAGGGTGACTGCCTACGCCTTGCAATGAGACTGCCTACGCCTTTCGCCACTTTGCTTCCTCCTGGTTTCAAAAAGCACCCAAGAGAGCATCCCGCAAAGCGACAATTCACCACATGTGCCTCACACATCATTTCATTTGCACAATTTCTCGATGTAAGATGAAGAAAATAATCAGCGTGGCAACACATACACACACAAAGCCCAACCTTTGCATGGCTCATCCTTGAAATGCATGAGTTCAACCTTGAGCGGGCAAGGCTCTATGAAGAATGCTAGGCAGGAGATGGATCTTTGCCAACGCGTACTGATGCTGAAGCTTGGCAATGTCAAGGCACGATTAGAAAACCCCCCTGATTAAAGGTTTCCCCTTTCGTGTCCCAGATTCCCAGCAATACTAAGGGAATTGGCCAACAAGGCTTGCCAAACAAAAACCTACCCAACCACCACCCCCCCCGCAGCCCCCAAGCCAAAGACACCTGCCAGGACAGGAGCTTTTAGTACTCGCTTGATCTGTGCTTAAATCCTCCCATACTAACCCGCTATTAAGCCCCAAGTATTCCCAAAACATGCGCTTCCCCCAATAATATTTTTCTTGCTAACTAACTGCTAACCTTTGTCTGAATGACAAGGCGTTCAAGCTCACAAAGGGGACCCCCCCTTGGAGGCCAGGCCCCTTCGTTAACAGAAGCCCGCCTGAAAACAAAAACTGCGGGTCCTCCAAAAAAACCTCAGTTTTGGAGGCTTGTCCAAACCTTGTCGACCTTGAAGGAGGGGGCTTTACTAATCAGGGCAAACAATTAGGCAGAAACCAAGTCCCCTATTGTCTCAGACTTGGGGGGAAGCTCCATGTAAGTTTGCTGGTTGTCTTGCAGGTGTGACTCCAACTTCTCAGCCCCTGCCTCGACGCTCAAAGTCTGGGAGCGCCCGATGACTTTGGTCGCCGCACCGCCGCTGCTCACATTGCAGAAGTAGAACATGTCCTGCTAGCTGTGACATGCAACGGATAACGACAAGGATGACATCAACTACAACACAAACAAGAGCAACATCCTATGCAAGGCACATGTTCGTCCCAATCAGCGGACCGTTGGAGCAGTCAACCGACGGGAAGGTATACATGAACACGCTTGCCAACTGCTAGTTTGTAGCTTTGCAGCGAAACCGTGATCAGCTGATTGTGCCAACAAAGCTGGGTTGTTCAAGATGGGGAGGGGGGATCCCTAATCCTAATCCGCAATCCATGGTGGTAAACTCCAACAACAAGGCAGCATTAGGGGTCGAGGATTGATTTTGGCAACCCAGCGTAAGAGTAGTTTACACATCAGGTCCTGCGCCCTCGGATTGTGCACATCTACCATAGTGCACAGCACCGGGATGGTGTCCGTGGCCAAGGTATTCCCCATGGCCTTAGCCAGCAATGCTCACTACCCCCAAGCCCGCAAGGGTCCTCTATTTTGCTGAACTGCCCGCAGGGTACTTCTTCTGAAACTGCCTTGCGGATTGGCAGTACGAGCTTGGCTTCGGCACGTGCGGGGCATCGCTTCCTGCGCTTGAGAACACCATGCGGACAAGAACTGCCCTGTGCACAGTTCGTCTTGACCTTTCCGTTGGCATGCGCTGCGATGTGAACAGATGTGCTTCAGGCACGCGCTGAACTTGATGCAGCCATGCTTTGCCATGTCAATGTAGAGGAGTTTTGCTTCAGACTGGCGTGGGGAATGCCCTGCCGGCAGTTGGGCTTCGTCTTGCAGTGGGCACTGCACTGCGCTGTCTCTTGACCTTGCCACGAGGGAAGCCTCTGCAAACGCGAAAGTTCCGCAGTATGCCATGCTCACAAAGCTTTTGGTTGTAGCGACTTTTGTTTGGATACAGCATGCTCAGCTGAAACAACTTGGCCCTGGCCCTTGGAAAAGGTGGAAATAAAAACATATTGGCATGTCTGCATCCAGTGGTTGGAAGCGCCAACACGACTTAACTCAGAGTAGAATGGTGATATGTTGACCTGCAACATCAGAGTCTGCTAGTTCAACTGTGATGTTGTCGTTTGGGCAACTGTTGATCGTGTATTCAACAGTTTGTCCCGCCAGCATGTGAAGAATATCCGCACAAGCCAAACTAAGCCAGCAACACCTGCTCAGCAATGGGCAAGCCTACAATGTCTACGCCAGGCAAAGGAGTTTGATTACACTGGGGCATGTATAGTTGTATGTGACGTTTGAAAAGGAGTCTCCAGCATGTTCAATACGTGAACCACAAGGGACTCCACGAAACTTTTGCTTTGCAAGCCTCGTTCTCAAACGAAGTTGGCAACAGTTTCACCAGCCCTCGCCCAACTGGCACGGCTCTGCCCTCTCAGAGGCCGGCAGGGTGCGGACTGAACTGCTGTGCGGACTGTCGCTTTGAGCCAGCAAGCACTAATTTCTGCGGCAAACATCATGAAGAAACGAGCATCAAGAACAAGGAATCGTTCAACTCAAGGAGGCAAGCATGATTGTCAGACGTGGAAGGTATCATCCAACGCCAACATTGACTCGAGTGGTATTCACTCGAAAACAAGCAAAACGAGACCCCTCCCAACAACATGTCGTTCCTGGCACTCATAGCTGCCAAAGTTGCTGAAGGTATTGTCCATACTGAGAAGGACTGCTGCTTGAAACCCAAACAGAGTTCTGCTGAGCAGCCAGTTGCGCCAGTGAGAAAACACCTCAAATAGATGTGGCCCTTGTTTGGTCTGTCTCCCGAGCTTCCAAACTGCAGCACTTCTGCAGCATTTGAAGAACATCTTTGCCGATTGCCGCTCTGATTGTCACCTGCAAGTCCTTGGACAACAGGCAAATAACACTGATATAACGAACGGGCAAGAGGCCATGCTTCTGGGACATGCCTAAAATGCTCGGATTTGCCCTGCAATCTTAAGCTGCTTGAGCATGCCTGAAACTGTTCATGTGCGGAGAATTCAAGACTGGACATAGCCTACAGCCTACATCGGCCCAAGTCCGAATGCAATGCACATCGAGCCCAGCAAGTATTTCTTTGAGCACATGCACAAATGCGACAACTACACATGCTGAAACAATCACACACGGATCACACACACACACACACCCACCCACGCACCCAACCACCCACCCACCCACCCACCCACCCACCCACCCACGCACGCACGCACGCACGCACCCACACACACACACACCAAACACCAACACAACACCAAAACACAACACCAAAACGCAACACCAAAACGCAACCACACAACACAACCACAACCACAATACAAGCACACACACACACACACAACCACAAACACAAAGAACAACCACAAAACGCAAACAAACACACTAACACCACCAGAAACACAAAAAGCAACCGACAAGCACTGACACTCACAGCTGTCTGCACACAATTGATTTATCCTTTCCTGGCTTGAGCGCAATCTCGGCAATTCTTCTTTGCCTTTCTCCTTAGAATCCCATGCGGGCATGCACTGCACTTGATGCAGTTATACTTTAGTTTGCCATGGGGACATGCTGAGCACTGTGGGCAATGATGTTTTACTTTGCCATGCTGGCACGAGTTGCACTGCTTGCAATTCCGCCTCAGCTTGCCGTGTGGACAGGCACTGCATTGCACGCAGCTTTGCTTCAACTTGCCATGTGGGCACGGCGCCCTTCCGTTGCAATGCAAGCAAAGATGCTTCGCCTTGCCATGTGCACACGCGTGGCACTGTTCACAGTTTCGTTTTAGATTCCCATGTTGACATGGGTTGCACTGAGCGCAATTACGCTTTACTTTTCCATGTGGGCATGCCTTGCACTGCTTGCAACTATGCTTGATCATTCCGTGCGGACATGCTACGCACTGCGTGCAACTGTGTTTCATTTTACCATGGGGACATGCTGTGCAAAGCGGGCATTTATGCTTTAACCTACCATGTGGGCAAGCATGGCATTGCTCACAGGTTTGCTTCTCCTTGCCGTGAGGGCAAGCACAGATTCGGCGGTTCCGCTTCTTGCTGCCATGCTGACAGGCTTTCATGTCACGCTGCCTGTCTCTCGCTGACGTAGAATCAGCTTGCGCTTTGCAGTCAAAGTTCGCAGCACAAGGCAAATGCGGCTGACACCTGGCCTGCAAGCGAAGCCAGTGCTTCTTGCAAGCCACTAACCTGTTGCTCTCAAGCAGCTCCTGGAATTTCTGCAAATGCGCCTGCAAGCAGTCCAGCGATGGGGCCAGAAGAGGGTCCGTCAAGTCCAACTGATCCAGGCACCAAAGCACGATTTTGCGCAATCTGGCCTGCAGGTCTCTGCATGCTGATAGCTCGGTCTGAAGCAGGTCGTTGCCTTGTGATTCGCCCTCAGCCTTGCCACGCGGCGGAGATAAGGCAGCTACGGCCCGCCGCAGGATCTGCGGCAAATTCGCACTGTCTGCGTCCTCAACTGCTTGCTCCAGCAGCTCGACATAGGACTCCCGGCTCTCGAGTGGAGTGTTCTTCCAGGTCTGGATGGACTTCTGCATCAGCCGCACTGCTTTGGACTGAGGGTGCAGCTCGGCACACCCATCAACAGGAGGTACAGCATTGAGCAGACTCTCTGAACGCGTTTCGTTCACCACAGTGGGAATGTCAATATCCCGAGAAACCAGCCTCTGCACTTTCCCTCCCTGCGGGTTTGCAAGGCACATGGCTATCCAAACGCATCACTTTTGCCGCTCTTGGCATGTGTTGGCCAATCTGCATCAGGAGCTGCTGTTTCTGCGGGTCGTCTCCCAATGAACTTTCGACATGCCTGATGACCAGTGGCAGCATCCCCGCCAAACGGTCGCCCAAACGCCCATCCTGCAACGACTCCAAGTATTGCGAGAGCAATGAGACCACCGACAGGCCACCGTGCGTCCGCAAGGCCGCATCTGGTGAGAGAGCTACAAGCCAGGCAGCCACGTGAAAGGCATGCCTGTCCATCTCTGCTTTGCTCATGTGCCCCCGTCGCTGCTCATAGCGGCGCAGAACAACTGAGGCGTCCTTTTCTTGAAAACGCCTGGCGTGATGCTGGATCCGCTCAGCATGCTCCAATGCTACAGGTCTTTCTACCCAAGCATCTAGTGCCTTGATGTTCCGAGACATGCTCTGGCAAGTGCCTTCGGTGCCAAAAGCATCTACACCAACGAAGGAATAGAAAGCAACATTGCCCTGTATCGCGCTTTGGCGAGGGATCGCAAAAGAGTGCCTATCGAACCTCCTTGAGCAAGACTAGAGGAGGAAAAGGTGGTGGAAATAGAAACATATTGGCATGTCTGCATCCAGTGGTCACGACTTAGCTCAGAGTAGCATGGTGATATGTTGACCTGCAAAATCAGAGTCTGCTAGTTCAACTGTGATGTTGTCGGTTGGGCAAATGTTGATCGTGTATTCAACAGTTTGTCCCGTCAGCATGTGAAGAATATCCACACAAGCCAAACTAAGCGCTCTGCCCTCTCAGAGGCCGACAGGGTGCGGACTGAACTGCTGTGCGGACTGTCGCTTTGAGCCAGCAAGCACTAATTTCTGCGGCAAACAGCATGAAAAAACAAGCATCAAGAACAAGGAATCTTTCAACTCAAGGAGACAAGCATGATTGTCAGACGTGGAAAGGTATCATCCAACCCCAACATTGGCTCGAGTGGCATTCACTCGAAAAAGAGCAAAATGGGACCCCTCCCAGCAACATGTACTATGCACGCATTTGCTGGTTTCCTTGCACTGTGTTTGAATGGACATCAACCCACTGGAACAAATCACTCACCTACAGGAATTTAGTTGCTGTTACTTGAAATCCAACCAGAGTTCTGCTGAGTTGCCAGTAGGGCTGGGGAAAAAACTCCGTGGACAACCCCCCAGTATCGCGTCGTGACTTTTCAGTGCAAGTGTAGTACACAGGGTGCATTTTGGCTGCTCTAGCTGGAAAGTTGCAACTTTTTACTACAAGTGTAGTTGCAACTTTTGAGTACAAGTGTACGAAGTTCATTTTGGCAGCTCCGGCTGGCAAATCGCAACGTTTCAGTACAAATGTGGTACACAATGTACATTTTAGCAGCTCCGGGCGCTAATGAGTTGGGTATCGGTTGGGTATCGGTTGGGTATCGGTTGGGCATCGGTTTGCGTATCGGTTTGGGCCCTGCAAATTGATGATTTTGCAATCTTGGTTGCGACAACACTTTTGCAGGTATCGGGTTTTCCGCAGCATCGGGTTACGAGTTCAGGGCCTGCAAAGAAAGTTACGGGACAGGCCCCTACATAACGAAAAGGCGCGGGGTTTCCTTTTCAACCCAGCTGTGCCAGTGAGAAAACACCTCACAAATACATGTGGCCCTTGTTTGGTCTGTTTCCCAAAGCTTCCAAACTGCTGCACTTCTGCAACAATTTGAAGAGCATCTTTGCCGAAGTCCTTGGACAACAGGCAAATAACACTAATAAAACGAATGGGCAAGAGGCCATGCTTCTGGGACATGGCTTGAAATGCTAGACACAAGCACAAACAGAACCACAAACACAAACACGACACACACACACACACCAAACACCAACACAACACCAAAACACAACACCAAAACACAACACCAAAACACAACACCAAAACACAACACCAAAACACAACACCAAAACACAACACCAAAACGCAACCACACAACACAACCACAACCACAACCACAATACAAGCACAAACACAAACACACACACACACACACACACACACACACACACACACACACACACACACACACACACACACACACACACACACACACACACACACACACACACACACACACACACACACACACACACACACACACACACACACACACACACACACACACACACACACACACACACACACACACACACACACACACACACACACACACACACACACACAAACACAAAAAAAAACACAACCACAACCACAACCACAAAACGCAAACAAACACACTAACACCACCAGAAACACAAAAAGCAACCGACAAGCACTGACACTCACAGCTGTCTGCACACAATTGATTTATCCTTTCCTGGCTTGAGCGCAATCTCGGCAATTCTTCTTTGCCTTTCTCCTTAGAATCCCATGCGGGCATGCACTGCACTTGATGCAGTCGTACTTTAGTTTGCCATGGGGACATGCTGAGCACTGCGGACAATGATGTTTTACTTTGCCATGCTGGCACGAGTTGCACTGCTTGCAATTACCCCTGAGCTTGCCGTGTGGACAGGCACTGCATTGCACGCAGCTTTGCTTCAACCTGCCATGTGGGCAAGCACTTCTGCTGCAATGCACGCAAAGATGCTTCGCCTTGCCATGTGCACACGCGTGGCACTGTTCACAGTTTCGTTTTAGATTCCCATGTTGACATGGGTTGCACTGAGCGCAATTGCGCTTTACTTTTCCATGTGGGCATGCCTTGCACTGCTTGCAACTATGCTTGATCATTCCGTGCGGACATGCTACGCACTGCGTGCAATTGTGTTTCATTTTACCATGGGGACATGCTGTGCAAAGCGGGCATTTATGCTTTAACCTACCATGTGGGCAAGCATGGCATTGCTCACAGCTTTGCTTCTCCTTGCCGTGAGGGCAAGCACAGATTCGGCGGTTCCGCTTCTTGCTGCCATGCTCACAGGCTTTCATGTCACGCTGCCTGTCTCTCGCTGACGTAGAATCAGCTTGCGCTTTGCAGTCAAAGTTCGCAGCACAAGGCAAATGCGGCTGACACCTGGCCTGCAAGCGAAGCCAGTGCTTCTTGCAAGCCACTAACCTGTTGCTCTCAAGCAGCTCCTGGAATTTCTGCAAATGCGCCTGCAAGCAGTCCAGCGATGGGGCCAGAAGAGGGTCCGTCAAGTCCAACTGATCCAGGCACCAAAGCACGATTTTGCGCAATCTGGCCTGCAGGTCTCTGCATGCTGATAGCTCGGTCTGAAGCAGGTCGTTGCCTTGTGATTCGCCCTCAGCCTTGCCACGCGGCGGAGATAAGGCAGCTACGGCCCGCCGCAGGATCTGCGGCAAATTCGCACTGTCTGCGTCCTCAACTGCTTGCTCCAGCAGCTCGACATAGGACTCCCGGCTCTCGAGTGGCGTGTTCTTCCAGGTCTGGATGGACTTCTGCATCAGCCGCACTGCTTTGGACTGAGGTTGCAGCTCGGCACACCCATCAACAGGAGGTACAGCATTGAGCAGACTCTCTGAACGCGTTTCGTTCACCACAGTGGGAATGTCAATATCCCGAGAAACCAGCCTCTGCACTTTCCCTCCCTGCGGGTTGTCTTCCAAGCAATCCTGGCGGCACACTCTCTCGCCATTGCAAGGCACATGGCTATCCAAACGCATCACTTTTGCCGCTCTTGGCATGTGTTGGCCAATCTGCATCAGGAGCTGCTGTTTCTGCGGGTCGTCTCCCAATGAACTTTCGACATGCCTGATGACCAGTGGCAGCATCCCCGCCAAACGGTCGCCCAAACGCCCATCCTGCAGCGACTCCAAGTATTGCGAGAGCAATGAGACCACCGACAGGCCACCGTGCGTCCGCAAGGCCGCATCTGGTGAGAGAGCTACAAGCCAGGCAGCCACGTGAAAGGCATGCCTGTCCATCTCTGCTTTGCTCATGTGCCCCCGTCGCTGCTCATAGCGGCGCAGAACAACTGGGGCGTCCTTTTCTTGAAAACGCCTGGCGTGATGCTGGATCCGCTCAGCATGCTCCAATGCTACAGGTCTTTCTACCCAAGCATCTAGTGCCTTGATGTTCCGAGACATGCTCTGGCAAGTGCCTTCGGTACCAAAAGCATCTACACCAACGAAGGAATAGAAAGCAACATTGCCCTGTATCGCGCTTTGGCGAGGGATCGCAAAAGAGTGCCTATCGAACCTCCTTGAGCAAGACTAGAGGGAACCCAAACAGGCGAGGGCCAAGGTTAAACAGACACACTGCTGGCTCAATACCTTGCCGGACCTTGCCGAAGCATCAGTGAAGTGGCGACCCAAGGACTAAACTGTGCACGGAACTTTGGGTAGAATGGATGACCTTGAAAGCTCCTCCATTGCATGCAAATGAATGTGCACACACTCTTCGCAATTACCAAGGCACGCACCAGCCAAAACGTGTTGGCAGCGAGCACAACTAAACATGCATGTGGCACTCACACGTACATGCGCAAGCGACGAGAGGAGGTTTAAGACATGCACAGCTCTTTGTAGCGACTGCAGCAACCGCCCTGCGCCTCAAAGGTTAAATTTGAGCTGTCTTGCTTGAAGGGACAGGTACCTAGCAAGTTGGTAGTTGCTAACCATGGTTGACCCACTCTCTTGGCTTATAGCTTCTGCAAGTAGGCTATAACCAGGGTTATTGACCCCTTTCCAAGCACCCTGTCCCTTTAAGTGACATCTACGGCTTCTTCGTCTTCTTCTTTTTGCCTCCGCAAACTATGCTCGCTGTAGCCTGAGACCACTCTCACAATCTTCCGGGAATGCCTGACAATAGGCTATCCTGGTTTGGTTGGTCACTCTGGCTTCGATTCTCAGCGGTGGCAGAGGGAAAACTGCAGTTCACTGCAAGATGTTGACGGCTCACTCAGGAATGTTCACCAATACCAGAGTCCTCATTCGGAATGAGCTTGCCTTCATTGAAGTCAACAATCATCTTATTGATCTTCTGGATGTGGTCCTCAAGGTTGTCGGCTGACCTAAGTCTTTGTCAGCCGTCGCAATACATGTGCAAACCGTCACAGCATGCGCACAAATATCCGCACGCAACCGGACTGGTACAACCCCACAGGCCAAAGTTGAAGAATTGAGGGAGGGTGACTAGAGCGGTTCTGGCGCAACCGTAAGCTGTCTGCCCCAAGAGCTCCAGACCGCCGAGCCACTTTTGGGCTGTATGGATATTGGTGACGGTCTCAGAAACGCTCCTCAGGGCAGAAGTTGCCTAAACAACCAGCCCCCAGTCCCCGGGACTCCGAAACCAGGTCTATAACAAAAGTGGTTTAAACCCTTCACAAGGGGTTGGGCCCCATCGCTCTTAGAAGAACCTTTTGGGCCCACGGGTTCTGTGTGGATTTGTTGACACCAAGGTTGAGCACGTGGCCCAGGCTGGTCGCTTGCCAGTAACCCACTGGGTCAACCAAAGCCATGTCAGCCATGAGCACTGGGCCAAGCTCCTCCAAAGCTCATCGCCGATGCCAATGTGATCCCCCGGCATGGTAATATTCGGATCCATCTGAGCCAGAGCCTCCACCTCTGTCTGCCTGACCGGCTGACTCAGACAAAGCCATGAATCGAAACCTGTGCCAATGTTGGGATAACCCCCACTCATTCCCCACTCATTGTAGTCTATCCTGTCTTGCTGCGCAAAAGTAGAATGGCAACATCGCTCAAATCTGGGTCCAGACCATCATGTTCATACATGAAAAGGCCGTCGCCAGAATTGCGGCGGAAGCTAGCAAAACACAAAACACATTACATGCGGACAAATGCAGCAAGGCGCTTCTGATTCTGCAGCTTCAATGGAACCGGATTCTTGCTCATCAGTGTTCCGGAGGCAGCCACGAGTTTGCCGTTCGAGTTCAACTTCCTGAAGACGGCCCCCATCTCCTGATCCATGTAGCCTGAAACAGTCGAAGAAGTAGTAATAGTACAGTACCCCTGGCCCCTAGTAGTACTGGCAATAGCAAGTACCCCCCCTTCTAATCTAAGGATTTCAACAAGCAACAACTAGTGTTGGGCTGCAATGTGGGTGTATGGCTGAACACATGGTTGTTGGCATTACATTACCTGTTCAATACACACATCCCGGTACAGGCCACTAAGGATTCAGCTATCCACAATGTTGACTCATGTAGTGGTCCCGTTTGCTTTTGCTAAAACAATGTGTACACCATGGCAAGGCCAAAGCAAAGTCTGACGTCCATGTATGCGCCTCAGACAGCGCCAAAACATGTCAGAAGGCCGGAGTGGCAATATGAAACAGAACGCAACATGTTCAAACACCTGTATAGACAAACATGTTGAGGTCTGTCATTCGATAAGCTACATGACATAACTTAAAAAGAAGCCAGCCGTGGCTTACATGCTTAAATTCAGCCGTAACATCTGCGACCATAACTTGATAACGCAGGCCATCGCAAGCTTAGAAATGGGTAGGTCCAACCTAACTAGATACTTTCATCAGGCAATGAACCAAGAAAATCCCAGGATCTCAATTGTGTTCTAAATTCGAATCAATTCCAGCCATTTTGCGCAGTATCCCATCAACCTGCTAGCAACCACAATGATCTCCAAATTGACAGAGCAGAAATCGCATTCAACTAGGATCCATCAAATTCCACTTGGCTTGTCCTGGCTTCATTCGGACATGGTATTCCATGTCAGCGGCTAGTTCTGGGATCTGAGCCCGTGGGTTCGAGCTTCCAGTTCATGGCGCCGAAGAATAGGTTCGGCAGCCATGGACTGGAAAAAGCCACTTGGGATCTGGTCTGTCCAGTTTGCTAATCATGTCTTGGGATGCGTTCTGCAAGCTACAAGGCGAAAATTATGGGATGCAACAGAGTGCAGCTACTGCTGTAGCCATCGTCGAGCGCGCAGGGGCTGGTTGCCAAAGCTGGAGCACCGACTTTACAACTCGAACAATGTAAACGAGTTTCGCGGTCGTTGGAGTACCTGGTACCTTAAAGACTGCATGTTCACATACGACTGTCAGCAGTCCTGTCCCATACCAAATCAAGCTGCCCAGAACAAGTTCAAAGTCCCGGGAGACACGAGCAAAGGCATTTCAGGACACCACAAGTATGGGAGAATTCTGGCAAGTATCTGATCCACTTCTTCACGTGTTCTTCTCTTGGCTGTTGCCCTTGGGAAATCTCTCGAGTGGACATCTCAGCTTCCTGGTCCAGCGCAACGTACTCCTGGACCTTGAGTCCTGAATCGTTCTGGACCCGCCACACCAACACCTGAACTTCTCCTTCGAGTTTCACGCTTCTGTTCCAAAGCGCCATGATCGCCTTCTGCTGAACGGTGATGTTGGCCATGAGGCCCTTGTAGTTGGACGCCGAGATGTCTGCGCGGGGCGCGTGGCCGTAGTAGCCGCTGTGCCATTCCTGCGAAGCCTTCAGGGACAGCTCGCTCAGCTCGCTGGGCGGGGCACCCTTCACGTGAAGCTGAAGAGCATTCACTGCGCAGCCAGGTGAAGCACACTGATCATCCGCGTCAAGGGCCTCTGGAATCATCTCATCAGCCCCAGCCAGGCAAAGAGTCAAAGCGAAGAGCGCAATCATGGCGAAAGCTTGCGGGTGAAGCTATCTGCGAGCGCACTCTTTGTGCTCGGTCTAACACTGTCGTCAGGAAAAGAGCTCGAGCATTTGTTCGTGAAGCAGCTTGTGACCAGTTCTTGTGACCAGTTGATCCGGAAAGACTCTTTGGGGTACCCACAACAATACTGTGGTGACTTACAGTTGTGCGAAACCGTTGTGAATATGGAACCTATTTCGTGAAGAGTCTGTCTTGCTGGTTCAGTTCTTTCCGAATGTCCTCAGTTGAGATTGCTGTTCAAGTTCACTGGTCTTGCCGAACGGTCTTGGAAAATCACGACAGGGGTCCTTATATTTGTACCCTTGAAGCACACAAGCGCATCTGCAATGAACGTGCGAGGCAGTTTTGCCTTGCGTGCACCGTCAATTGTAGGCTTCTGGCAAGCTCGAGGGTTCCAGGTGTGAAACAAAGCACAGACTCCCCCGCTCAGTTGAGGTGCGCAGATTCATACCGGTGGCCATTTCTTCTGTAGAAGGCCGCTTAGGACACATGCGGCATCGGCAAGTTCGTACATCAAGGTAATGCGGGAACAAACTCCTTTGCACAAGATCACTTGAAGATGCTATACTCGTCCGACCAGGCTCCCGAGTCAAGACGATCAATTTCTGAGTTTAGGGTCTGCAAATCAAAGCTGAAAACCAATGCTTGGGTCAGTGGCGTGTCCAGAATTGCCTGCGTATTTCCTCTCAGTTGGGCAGCCTCCACTCGAAATCGACTTTGGTCTTGTTTGAATAAGGACATCCCAAAAAAGGGTTCTGCAATGCTCAACAACGCCAACACCCGCCGCTGCAGCATGTGTTTCCAACCTGTGGCTCTGCTCTTGCAAAGACCTCTACATTTGCCAACCCTCCACACGCTTGCAAGCTCAGGCAAATAGCGTTGCACTCCTGGTGTAATTCCAATAATTCCAACGAAGGCAGTTGGATCAGAAACCCCATATTCGCTAGGGGCTCAAGGCACCTGCTGAGTGAGAAGTCGAGCTGCACAAAATCCCATGCGGGCATGCGCTGCACTGAAGACAGTCTGGCTTAAGGTTGCCGTGAGGGCACAGCCGGAATTAGCTTGCCATGTGAGCAAGCGCTGCTATTGCTCGCAGTGTTTCCTCAGCTTGCCATGTGGGCGTGCGATGCACTGCTTGCAGTTTTGCTTCAGCTTGCCATGGGGCAAGGGTTGCACGCACGCAACTGTGCGTTCCTATTCTGTGTGGACATGCTTTGCACTGTTTGCAAAAATGTTTAATAAGTTTAAGCTTCTCGTGTGGGCATGCACTGCATTGTCGGCAGATTTGCTTCAGCCGACCATGCATTCCTCCACCTTTCCGTGGCAGGGACTGCGTTGCAAGCACCTGTGCGACCGCTTGCCATGTGGACATGGCGCTGTTGGCAGGTGGCCATGCCGGCCAGCGCTGCACAGCCTGCAGCGTTCCTTCGGTTTCCCATGTAGCAAGTGCATTGAGCGCAGCGTCATCTTGCCTTGCCATGGGGACATGATCCTGAAGACTTACGTTTGACAATGACGGCATGTCCGGCTCCTTTTGATGCTGATATGGTTGCTCCTGCTTTGGCCAGCATGGTGCTCGCACACCTAGCTTCTAGCCGAGCCCCTTGCTTCTTGCACACGATCATGCTTTCGCGGCGAGTTCCTGAAATATTTGGAGCAGTGACTGCAAGCATCGCATGGGCGCAAGGCGCCAATCTGCCAGGTCCTCTCGATCCCGGCAAACCACAACTTAAGGCCGGGCGTCGACTGGTCGTTGGATGTGTTGGATACCGGCATCTTGCCTTCGCATCCATCACTCAAATGGCACCGTGGCGGGGAAAGAGCAGCAACGGCCCAGCGCAGGACCATGCGCTGCTTGGCCGAGTTCTCAGCTCCGTCGGCCTTTTGCATCTCTTGCTCCAAAGACTCCATGTACGCTTCCAGGTGCTCGGACGCTTGGTTCTGCCATGTTTGGATGGCCTTCTGCATGAGCCGCGCAGCCTTTGCAGAACAGGCAAGGCCAACTGGCTGGTCGGAAATCGGCTTGCCGAGCTCTTCTGCCTGTATCATCCCTGCATATCCCTGTTTTTCTCTTCCGCCCTTTCTGAACGTTGCCATGAGGGCTTGGATTGCAGCTCTTACAATCATACCAAAAAATCCACGAGGACACCTCTTGCCATGGCAGACTTGCTGCACAAGGTGCACTGCCTCTTGACCTGCCAGAACGGCAGCCTTTGCAATCCCTCAGAAATGTCTTGGTTGCAACTGCGCCGCTTCTTTCCCTCCCTGACGCACTATGCTCATCTTGCTCAGCCACAGCAGCAACATGGCTCTGATTGCTATTTTCAAGCTGCGCGCTGGATGCGACGTGTGGATTGGCATTGGCACATTTGACCTGCAACTGCAGCCAGTGCCAAGCCACTGAGCCGTTCTTTGCAAGAAGCTTCTCGAATTTCTGCCAATTCAACTGCAAGCATCGAAAATGACACACCGAGGTCGAGGTCGGAAGAGCAGCTCCACCTCTCTTCCTGGCACAAGCCAAGCAGACATGACGCACGGGCTCTTGGCCTTGCGGGGGCGGCAGCGTGGGTTGCATGAATCTTGCTCCCAGTGCGCAATAAGCACAGTTGTTCTAGTGGGTCCGTCAAATCTAACTGATCCAAAGTCAAGCCTGCAAGTTCTTGGATGCGACAGGGCGGCCCTTGCCACGCGGAGGAGACAAGGCCACGCCGCAGAATCGTCGGCAAACTCGCACTGTCTGCTTCCTCAACTTCCTGCTCTAAAAGCTTGACATAGGACTCCCGGCTAGAAAGCAGGCTGTTTTTCCAGGTTTGGATGGCCTTCCTGGCCTTCTGCATCCACAGCTTCATCCACAACTTCGTCCGCTGCTCCTTCCACTGCTTCAACAGGAGGCACACACATCTCCACATGCAACTCGTTTGCCAGGATTTGTGCGTGTTGGCCAATCTGGCTCAGAAGTTGCCTGCACTTGCCAACCCTTTTTCAACCAACTCTGGAGGCGCTCTGCTTTGGATCCCACATGCCTCTCTTCCAGGCTATTCCGCTAGGGCTCTTTCGCCATCGGCTCCTTTCGCTGCAGAGCGTCACCCAAATCATTGAAGGTGCTGGGACACAAGTACAAGAATGCGCACCAAGCAGTCGTCAAGAGGCTGCCCATGCAATGACTCAAAGTAACGCGAAAGCAATGTGACCACTTACAGACCACTGTGTGTCTGCATGACGTCTTTTGGTGAAAGTACTGCAAGCCAGGAAGCCGCGCAACATGGGCACTCTATATTATGAGCCCTGCTCATCCCTGTGCTGTTCGCAGCGATGCGAAACAGCTTCGGCATTCTTCTCCTGAAAGCGTCTGGCGTGGACCCGCTCCAGCCCCGCGAGATCAGCATGCTGCGAGGCAAGAGTCGCGCCGATCTTGGGGCCACCCCCAAGCATCACCATGTGCAAGGACGAACCAATATAATAGTGTTTCACAATCATAAACAGTATAGTCTTCAGAGTTTAATGGTGCTCCAGGAAAGGTATGGCTACAACCTCGTGCTCCGGTACAAGGGCATGCTGCTTGAACTCGACTAAATCACTTGAGCCGATGTACAGCCAAGCTGCCTTGGGGCCTTAGGATGCATAGTATACATGCAAGCATAGTGCTTGCTGGGTGTGAAGCCAACAACCCGACATACTGCAATGACCAAAACATCTTCGGCGCAATGTGCGCCAGTGATGGGAACCTCAAACAGCGAGGGTCTGGGCATGGTAAATCACATCATCGTTCCAGCACACACCAATACAGCACTACATACCCATCCAAGAGCCCATCATGTGCCCCAAAGGAACTATTGCTAAAACACAAAAAATAACATAATGTAGACAACAACTGGTACAATGACACGACATCTCCGGCGCAATGCAAACCCAAGTGTGTTGGAACCTCCAACATTTCAACTAGCGAGGGTAGAACAACATGATTGTACAACAAATGCTGACTCTTGAGGCACTTGAGCCTGTGGTGTCGAAAGCATGCTCAGTTGCAGAACCCAAGATTCCTCGGCACAGGAAGCGAAGCGGATACATCCTTATCGTTTTCCAGAGGAAGAAAACATGCACACATCGTCTCAAACGTTCCGGCATGAATATCCGCAACGTCCGCGACATCTTCTGCATAACCACCAGCAAGAACTACAGCTACAGGTATCTGCCTGTCTTGGCAAAAACGAAACACGAGCTCATCCCGCTTTCGAAGACCGCCTTTCGTGATTGAAAGACCACCAAGAGTGTCATGCTCCCATGGGTCTGCACCTGCAACATAGATGCAAAGGTCGAACCGCGAACGACGGTGCTCCACATCCACATACTCCGCCAGTGAAGCTTGCACTTTGGCAAGGTAAGGGCCATCCTCCATACCATCGGGAAGTCCGACGTCATGAGTCGAGGGATACTTCACAAACGGAAACAGACTTTGTTGGTGAAGGCTCACAGTAGTCACCTCTGGATGATCCCTCCTCCGGAGTATAGCCTCTGATCCACGTGGCATTGCTTTGGTGCTCGTACCGGCTTGGGAACTAGTGCTTCCTTGTCGTGGACGTCTCTCGTCATACTGATTCGTCTCAAAGTTCCACACGAATGACCGCCCGGGAAATCCGTCCAGCTCATAACTTGGTGGAAAGCACAATGCGGTTCCATCACCCTGGTGAACATCTAGATCAAAGACCAGCGCGCGCTGAATCTCGCCCTTCCCCAGCAACAGCTCCAGGGCCACTGCAACATCGTTCACAATACAATATCCTGCTCCACCGCCGGGCCATGCATGATGGTTCCCCCCGCCAATGGAAAACCCGCACCGCAAAGGGCTCAATGCATCTCGACAAGTGGCAAGAGTGCAAACACAATCAAAAAGCTCCGTCTCGAAAACTGCCTCAGAACAGGGCACCTCGAACTCAGCGATCGCCGCTTCAGGGCTCTTGAAATATCGCTCACGAATGCGCCGAAGGAACCGGTCCGTGTGTACCACGCGAAGAGCGGAGATGAGCTCCTCACGAGGGATGCTGTCGGGTTCTTGAATTGTCACCCCTTGGCCTAACGAGGCAGTGCCCCAATCTGCAACTCGATCGCGCAGCAGCTTGTACTTTGCCATGTTGAAGGTTTCGCCTTGCCAATAGTTCTCAGGTCGTTGGAAATACCGGACTTTCATGTCACTGAGTCCCTGCTCTTGCTGGGTGGCTCACGCCCTTGCATAAGCATTTGCCATTGCTATAAGAATCTAAGACTGATGTTGTCCTGCTCTGTAACTGACAACACATGATCACATCTACTATTGAACAAATCAAAACCAACTATGACTTCCTACATCCTTCAGTTATTTTATGCCAGTCTCCTAGCTTTGCAGCTCATGTGCAACGAGTGCCTTGAGCCCGAAACAGCTCGTGACACATCTATCCAGGTCCTTTCTCACAACCACAAAGAGACTCAGCCAACCTGTTCCAAGTTTATGTATCGCAACAAACTTTTGAGAACTAAGCCCCTTAGACACATCATCGTGTGTCCAACCCATGGGGCATGCGAATTGCGGCTCAGCCAAAGCGGATCAGAACGTTGAGCATTCCGAATAACCAGGGGAAGCCCTTCCTCATATTTGCGCCATCGTGCGGCTTTTATTTGAAACCAACATAGCACCAACAAGCGCGCAAACAATGTGTACTGCAGGGCAAAAGTGCACATGGACAAATGTGAATGCCAAAGGTGGATATGAGATTGGCTTAAAGTATACATGTGTGTGTGGTTCTGTGAGTTTGTGCATGTGTGTGCGTATTTTGCGTGTGTGTTGCGTGTGTGTGTGTGGGTTTTGTGTGTGTGTGTGTGTGCGTGTGCGTGTTGTGTGTGTGTGCGTGTGCGTGTGTGCGTGTGTGTGTGTGTGTGTGTGTGTGCGTGTGTGTGTGTGCGTGTGTGCGTGTGTGTGTGTGTGTGTGTGTGTGTGTGTGTGTGTGTGTGTGTGCGGTGTGTGTGTGGTGGTGTGTGTGTGTGTGGTGTGTGTGTGTGTGTGTGTGCGTGTGTGTGTGTGTGTGTGTGTGTGTGTGTGTGTGTGTGTGTGTGTGTGTGTGTGTGTGTGTGTGTGTGTGTGTGTGTGTGTGTGTGTGTGTGTTGTGTTGTGTTGTTTGTTTGTGTGTTGTCGTGTGCGTGTGCGTGTGCGTGTGCGTGTGCGTGTGCGTGTGCGTGTGCGTGTGCGTGTGCGTGTGCGTGTGCGTGTGCGTGTGCGTGTGCGTGTGTGTCTGAGTGTGCGTGTGCGTGTGCGTGTGCGTGTGCGTGTGCGTGGGCGTGCGCGTGCGCGTGTTCGCGCGCGTGCGCGTTTGCGTGCACGTGCGCGTGTGCGTGTGCGTTTGCATGTGCATGTGCGGGTGCGCGTGCGCGTGCGGGTGCGTGCGCGTGTGCGTGTGGGTGTGTGTGTGTGTGTCTCTGTCTGTGTGTGTGTCTCGGATTGTGTGTGTGTGTGTGTCGGTGCATGTGTGTGTGTGTGGGTGGGTGTGTGCGTGCGTGCGTGTGTGTGAGTGTGTGGGTCGGTGTGTTTGTGTGTGTGCGTTGTTCATGTCGCGAGAGTGTGTGTGCGTGTTGTATGCGTGCTTTCTGCGTGTCTGCGCGCGTGCGTGCGTGTGTGCATGCGTGCGTGCGTGCGTGCGTGTGTGGGTGGGTGGGTGGGTAGGTGGGTGGGTGGTTGTATGTGTTGTGTGTTTGGGGTGTCTGGGTGGACACTCAGATCGTCTATGTCTACAACCATGAAGTCTGATTGATTGAGCTGCTATTGGTTCTCGGCGCTCCAATGATTCGTGTGTTCATGCTGATGGAGAGTCGTGCCATGCATTGCCAACTTGCTCTTCCTTGTGAGCAACATGAACAACATCTCTTGGATAGTTGGCTTGACGGTGCTGCTTCCCATACAGCTGTCTCTATGAACAACACATGTTGTCCTGGCGACTTGCTCTGGACACTTAGTCGCAATCAACTATGGCGCAATCAAAAATCGCATGTCCGGCAGGCGTTGAGCTCCGAGCAGGTTGTGTCTGCTTCATCTTAAGCTTCACGTCAATGTGCCGAGCTTTCTGTCAGTCGCTTGCATTGTCCGCGGCCCAACATGCTCACGCCCGCAGCTCACTAGCTCCGTGAGAGGGCAGGTGACACTTTGCACCTGCAACTTTGCAGCTGGATCGGCCAATCCTGGGAAATAAAAGGTTAACAGTCCTGGGACTTTGACTCGCATGTGCCAAAATGGGAAACCCCAAAAATGGGAAACCCCAAAGGTGAAGAGGTCGGCATTGGGGTAAATGCAAGGGGGCCTAGGTGCCCCAGACTTTTTGCCTCATCGCTTCTGTTTTTTGGAGACGCCTGGACGCTCGGCCTGTGACTCCCGTTTTTTGCAAGGGACTGAGCTGGTCGATCTGCCTTCTGACAAAAGAATCTGCACTTGCCACAAGCCACAACAAGCCGCTGAGTGGCAAGGCCTGGGGCATCTTCCGCCACCGCAGCTCTTCCCGATACCAGAGCTCTGGCTTCAGCGCAGGGACAATTTCGCTTCGCCTTGCGTTTTCAAAACGCCATGTGGATAAGAGCTGCACCGAATGCAGACCCATGAGGGCAAGCACTGCATTCAACACAGTTGTACTTGAGCTTGCGAGCACGCACGGCAAAGAACGCAGTGTTGCTTCAGCTTGCCGTGCACTTGCAGCAATTTCAGTTTTCCATGTCAGGACTTGCACTTTGCGCAGTGCTTCACCTTGCCACGGGGGCATGCACTGCACTTTGGACAATTCTTCAGCCTATGCGGGCACGCGTTGCACCGCACGCAATGCCTCTTGAAGTCTTCAGCTATCTAAAATAGTTTTTTTCATGTCTCGAGCCGGCCCCCTCCCTTTGCTTCCTGCATACTTTGTGTCAGGCCATGCCCACATATCACAGCATGGAGTGGATCAAGTATTGCCTCCTGGCCAAGTCGGGTACGATTCGCATAATCTTATATAATAAGTCAAGCGACGGACGGAATCAGCATAGACATGCATAAACGATGTAGAATTATATCATCTTTTGTATAGGGCAAGTTTCATCGTCTATGGCTGCAGTTGCACTTAGAACGGGGTGCCACCAAAGTACCCTCCCATCCACTATCATGGAACCTGACCGGGGTCCCTCAAGACCATTCTCCTCTAAGATTGACCGTTTCTCCGGTGGGCTTGTTGGACGAGAGGGTCATAGATAAATTTATTGGCACATGTTCGCCTTCTCTTGCACGGGCCCGCCTGACAAAGCGCCAGCCAAGCAAGCCCAAATCCTCGGCAAGTGCTGCACTTATTCTCGTGACAAAGTCATGCGCCAGGCATACATACATACATACATACATATATATATATATATATATATATTGGTATGTGTTCATGTGGTTATGATTATGCACAAACTGATGTGTGTGTGTGTGTGTGTGTGTGTGTGTGTGTGTGTGTGTGTGTGTGTGTGTGTGTGTGTGTGTGTGTGTGTGTGTGTGTGTGTGTGTGTGTGTGTGTGTGTGTGTGTGTGTGTGTGTGTGTGTGTGTGTGTGTGTGTGTGTGTGTGTGTGTGTGTGTGTGTGTGTGTGTGTGTGTGTGTGTGTGTGTGTGTGTGTGTGTGTGTGTGTGTGTGTGTGTGTGTGTGTGTGTGTGTGTGTGTGTGTGTGTGTGTGTGTGTGTGTGTGTGTGTGTGTGTGTGTGTGTGTGTGTGTGTGTGTGTGTGTGTGTGTGTGTGTGTGTGTGTGTGTGTGTGTGTGTGTGTGTGTGTGTGTGTGTGTGTGTGTGTGTGTGTGTGTGTGTGTGTGTGTGTGTGTGTGTGTGTGTGTGTGTGTGTGTGTGTGTGTGTGTGTGTGTGTGTGTGTGTGTGTGTGTGTGTGTATGAGGCTACCCTCTTTGGGATGGAACCAAGAAGACAGCTACCATTGGTTGGCGAGACTGTTCGAATGGATGTGCCAGGCAAGTGAGAGGTTCAGCCGGGTCAAAGCTCTCACACGTGGTTTTGTTCAAATGTCGCCAATTGCAGCAAGTTGCTGCACCTTTTGGACCCCCTTGAAGCTGTTTCCAAACGAAACCAAAGGGAAACCGGGCCCCACAGTTTGCCTTTGAGACAGCCCGAATCACAGGCCACTTTAAATTGGGCATGAGGTCGACTCAATTGGCTTTTTTCTTCACGCTGCCATCAATTCACGAGCCCACAGCGTGCGATCTGGATCTCCAGCTTCAGTGCCTGGGGCTCGAGCTCGGCCAGCTGGAGTTCTGCGGTTGGCGTCTCAAACCACCCGGCAGCTTCTGTGAGGCACCTTCCCTAAACCAAACGAGGTCCATGAGCTCCATCTCGTTGTCATCGCTGCGCTCGAGCAGGCCGAGCACCAAGTCCATCTAGTGCCTGCAGCCATGGCCTGCAATTCCACATCACCTGTGGCAACCCATTCGGCGAAACGTCAACTGGCGCAAATCAGACACATTTGGTCATTCTAAATGTTAGATTGCTGATGTTCGCAATGATTAAGACTAACATGTCTGCTGAATGGTGATGTTTGCATGAGCTCACGTATCCAAGCATGGCCTTCTTTACTAGCTAGCATCATTCATTTCACTTGAACCTTGACAAAACACCAAAAAGGACATGAGACAATTAGAGGGGGCTCCCTTGTTTTTTTGTTGAAATTCCCGCCCCATGTGTCAGTTGGGTGTTTCACAAAATGGGGCGCGCCCTAAACATGGACAGGTTCCTTCTGATTTTCTGAGACCACCCATTCTGGGTCCTCTATTTTGAGAACTTCCCCCCGCCCCTTGCTTCTTTGAAGAGCGACGCCTCACCTGCACGGAGATTGCCTGTTCAGCATCGGAGGCGTGGGTAAGAACGCTCACCAGCTGTTCTTTCAGCTGGGCATCCTGCTCCAAGGCGTCTGCTGCCTGAGGGATCTGACGGCAAAAAGCTGATTTTTGCTGGATGAAAAAGCAAATAAGGGAGAACCACCACACTCAAATGCTGACTTCTGGTTGAAAGGGAAACAAAAAACATCTACAAGGGCAAAGTCCTATGTTCCACACTAAGGGGTTCTTGCGGTCAGAAAAGCAAAGGCAACCGGTCGAAAAGGTAAGCTAAGTCAGGCCACGAGGAAGGCAGACGAAGATGCCTCCCCTGCCTCTGCAGCCCTTCGGGCGGCCAAGTGGCTCTCTTCCGCCACGCGGCTGGTGTCCTGTTTCTGAGAGTACCCAGGCCCTAGCCAAAGGTCTAAAGGCTTTAAAGGAGAGCTGTGGCTTTAAAGGAAAAAGAAATGGGATCCCCAAGAAACGGACCTAAATCATGAGCCCGTTTCACCCTGAAATCGCTCGCCGTAAAACAGGCAGATTGTGAGTTCCGTGAGACAAACACTGCTTAACTCATTTTGGACACCCGGTCCAGCAGCACCTCCTGCAAGAGCTCAAAGATGGGCTCAACGTCCTGGCAAAAGTCTACCAGATCCCAGACACCCTCCTGTGGATGTTCTCCGCGATAAAAGAGAGCCCCTTTCTAGGCAGTTGAATCTTAAAGAGAACCCCCTCTGCAAACAAAATTGGGAAAAAAAGGTTAGACTGTTAGACCACCTTTGTTGAAACAACTCGATGTTGGTGTCCCCCCTTTTAAGGAGAAACCAGCTGCTGGATGTTTGAACATGTTGTAACCAATCCTGGTCTCAGGTGAGAAGCGACTTTGGTCTCGCAAGGTCCACAGTCCAGCACCCAGTTCAAACAAAACAAGCTGATGAACCACATGCCGCTATTTTATCTGGATCCTGCCAAGGTGTAAGACACAGTGATCGATGCGTGCTTGTATTGCTCGTTTGGATTGTTGAGCAAATTGCTCATCTCTGGCACAATTTTGGCTTTGCCTGTCGTCGGCAAAGGTTGAATCTAGACTGGACAGCGCGTGAGGCTCAGCACATTTGCTTGAGTTAAGCTGCCGGTAGTCGTTTCTGAATGAGCAACTTTTTGCTCAAGTCGGATGTTGTACGACACTTGCTGTCCTGAAATGGTGGTTTGTCTCTGTAAGCGTGTGTTGCGGGCTTCCAGGGATAACACTCAAACATGACCCAGTCAAGCATCTCAGAAAGTATCATGCAGCATTTAGAAAAGCCTGCAACTGTCATCCGTGTACAATCGGGAAACTTGCGCTGGTGGTCGCAGAGGCTGTGTTCATAAAACGTGGCAAGCACGCAAGAACCTGAACGCATGGCAAAAGGAAAGGCTCACTTACACCATGAATATGTCTCCCAGAAGCCTCTCATATTGCGCCTGTCCCTACACTCGCGGTGATCCCGGTGAGCCCAGGAGATGCGTATCTTCCTTCGAGCTTGGAGCTGGGACATCAACAGCTCTTTTGCCCTCCCAAGGCCCAGCTTCGCTCTCGGCTTTCCTCGGCGGAGATGCGGTGCTTCTCGTCATTGCTGACGCCTGGGGGGGGGGGGGGGGCATGTGGCAATAACCCCTGTGATACCACTGAGAGGCATCCTGATTGCCGCTTTGCGAGAAAGTAGCAGCCTAAACCCCTGTTTCTCCCATGCACCTGGACCATCCCTGCGCTGCAGTGCAGCAATCAGCTCCTGCAGCAAGTTTGCACCGCGGGAGTTGACTCGGTGGGCCTCTTCAGCGTGATCCATGGTCTCGGGCCATTGGAGCGCCGGGTATGGCTTGCTCTATGGGTTGTACACTGCGAATGCTCTCGGATGGCAAATGATGTTCATCCCATGATGTCCCATGTTCATGTGCAACCTGCGTGACACCCAAGAAACTATCACTTCTGTCTCATTCTTTCCAGAGTCGTCCAAGAAAGTTCGCCCCAATAACAAGCTGCGCTTGATCCCACACCGCGTGCCAAGCCAGGACGTGCGAGCACCTCCACACAGCTAGTTGCACTGGCTCAAGTTTGCTACGAGCACTTACAAGCCATGCCTCACCAAATCGAATTGCGGAGCTCCCTGAAGGTTGCACCGGTAACTTCACGAGCCTTTGATGGACACCCAGCAGGTCTCCCAAAAGATTTTCAGCCAAAGTGGTTTGGTTGAGCCTGGCAACACCTGGGAAATGGGCTGACAAAATCTCCTGGATGGCAAATCTAAAATGATGCATTCCATCGTCATGATGCGCCTACGCACCGGTGAAAGTCAACAAATAATCAGTACCCGCACCCTTCCTTTCAACATGATCTTGTGCATACACGTTGCCAGGTTGTGATACAGTGATACATAGTCAAATTCATTTGTTTGTCCACTGTAGCGTGGGGTGTTTCCCAAACCTTTAACAAGTGTTCCATGCACGGAGACGCCATATGGCAGGCTAGCTGGCTTGTTCACCAGGGCCCAATAATTATTTTGCGCTGCGCAAGACGGCTTGTTCCGCTTGCATATGAGGGGAGGTTTCGCAAGTTCGTGAATTGTACCCCTGCACCAAGTAGCTTTGAAGACCGCGAACAATAATTGCAATGTTGCAAGCTCATAGCCTGCCATTCAATCCATTCCTGATTCAGAGCCATAGCCAGGGGAGCATGTGGCCAATTCTGACTTTCAGGTTGCTACGGGTCGCCTTGTTATGGCTAAGCCCATATTGGGTGTGCGATGTACAGCGCCCTTGAAATCCTCATTAGGAACTGTGATAGTTAGGTGCCGTTGTGGCTCCCTGCAATGGTTGTCTATTGCTACAAACAAGGGAACCCAACTCAACAATGCTTCATTTCTTGCTGGGGGGAGGGTGTACTAATCAGGGGTAAACAGTGATTGCAAAGTATGTGTGTGTGTGCTGCGCTACTCACACTGTCGATACTGGCCAACATGCGCAGTCCAAAGGGTTCTACTGCCACATTACCCGCATGCAAGGCCAAGCCGTGACCTGTCGGAATTCGACCCAATGGCTGGTCTATGTGAAGCATGTCTCAAAAGAACGGGGGGCCCAAAAATCGATGGCTTTCTTTGCAGACTCAGCGGGCGCCAAAGGAAAGCGATCTTCATTGAGTTTCTCTGTTCACTGCACGCACGCGCCGAGTGTGACGTTCAGCCGCATGCACAAGGCACAGTGCTGAAATCGCACTCAGGCAAGCACACGCCAAATAACGAAGGCGTGTGCTCGCGAGAGTCACTCTTGTGCAAAGGGATGGCCGGAAAAAATGTTTGGCCGTCAACTCAAAGGTGACGAACTCTATCTACCTCACGTCCAAGGAGTGCTGAAGGCGAGTCGCGACAAGCTGCTGCCATGGCGTCGTTATCTTAGAAGGGCCCAATTCGCTCTCAATGGGCCGTCGCGTCTCAGCCGAAGCACAGAAGGAAGCTCCAGGCCATGTTCGCGCAGTTGATGCGCAGTGATAGTCGCGCCATGCTGCTTTGAACAGACCTGGCTGAAAGGCCTCCAAGCTAGCCTCCTGGTGACGATCAGGGGGGGCTGCCTGGAGCAACACCTGGGCTCTGGGCGAAGCAAATGAGCGCTCAAGTCAAGCTGCGCAGGCTCCGCTCCTGAAGCTAAGAGCAAGCGTCGCTTCGCGGCAACGTGACTCAAGGAACGAATGCTGCTGGTGAGGAAACAGGCTGCTTAAGCTGACAAACTTGAGCGCAGGCAAGTCATGCAAGGACCCACAGGCAGCCATTTCTCAAATCAATGATTCGGCACAAGAAACATGTCTGCAGTGGCGAGGCTGTCCATGTCCTTCCGCATCAGAAGGATCAGGTCCCAAGGCAGCCGCGATCCAAACAGATCCTGCTGATGAGAATTTAAGCCTTCAAGCTCACGGTGTGTTGGCTTGCATTGTCACTGCACACGTGTACTTCCTGTGATCCAAACCGCGCCTCTAAACTCCGGCATAAGGCATAAGGCATACATTGAGAACTGTGTATAGAACATGCACATAATCCATGTATCGGACATTTACATTGTGGCATTCGTGTATCCTGATATGCATGTTCTTCATTCATTCAATAACTGTGGGAAACCTCGCGTTAACGAGAACTTTGACTGGTGCGCCTTTGACCGCCTGGAGGCGAAGGAAAAGGCCCAGCCATCGCGGCACGCGCTGTAGACCTGTTTCAACAGAAAGGGAATCAGCTTGCGGCTTCCAAGCCAATCAACAAGAAGAAAGAGCATCTTGTCTTGTCTGGATACGAAACAACCAGGCAAGGACTAGATATGCTGCTTGTGGACTTGTGCTCTCACCGCTCTGCTCACTCTTCACAGATTATTGGCGGAAAAATATCTGCATACTCTGTCTATTCGTTCATGTGGGCGTGTGCGGCACACAAGAATTTCGCAGTCTAACTATAACTACACTCGTGTGACCATGCGCAAGGAACATTACGTGTTGCTCTTGTCGGTGCTTTAGCTACTCCCAAAACAAACATGTACGGGGCGATCAAACATACTCACACGGTCAAGTCTGCCGAAATCCTTGGACGCATTCCAACTTCCGGTCCGTCGACATACACTCCCCCGACTCTTCGGCAGCGCGCTTGACTTTTGTGCTCTGAAACTGTGGCTCCATGGTGCAAACGCGAGCCGCGTGAGACCGGAACTGGGGCAGCTTGTCTGCTGCACCTCTTGACTTGCTCGCAAAAACGAGGCCGCAACCAAAATGTGCGGCTCACACTGCAAGCCCCATGTTACAAGCTCATGGCTTCAAGCAAGCTCAGAGCCTTCCCGACTGGCGGGACACCTCTAAACCGAAGGCACTAAGTTCCTCTCCTGCCTCATGCAGTTCTGCGAGGCTTACACAAGCTGGCTTTGGCAAACGCATTGAATGTGCCGTGCATTCCATGTGATTTGTCCGGAAGGAGGGGCGGTAAAACGAGAAGCCCTCACTCCAGCTCGATGACGGAGGCGGCACCCATGCCGCTGCCCAGGCACATAGATGTGACGCCCAACCTCAAATTACAACTTGCAGTACCACATTGGGCCCATAGAAATGTGAGTCCATTTATTTGTTAAGTAGCTGGAGGAAGTGACGCACCTCTTGATGGACATCATTTCACAAATATTCATGTCCACCAACCACTTTTGAGGGTTCCAAATTGAAATGCATAGCCAACTGGTCCCCCGAACCAATCTAGCCTTCCTCCCAAAGAGGGCCCAGATCCTGGATGCTTGAACAAATATTCTCAACCCCGCCAAACCTACTGCCATTGGAGCCCTCATGGCTGAAGGTGCAGGGCAATCGTGTCCTTTTAAGTCAGTGCCTGGCCCAAAAACAAAGCGCTATTCAGGAAAAATAGATGGCACCATTCTGTTTGGGCAAGGGGCAATGACTCAACTATCCGGGAATTGTGTCATCTTTCGAACGCCGGGGCCTTGCCAGACGGACAAACTGCTGGCCCTCGGGGCGCCCGGCTTCTTGTTTTGCCGCTTCAGCTCCGGCAGCAGCGTGGCGATCTGCCGGGCCCCGGTGGCACCCAGCGGGTGGCCCAGAGCGATGGCGCCGCCCTTGGGGTTCACCTGGCACCGGCGAATCGGCGAAGCATGGCGAAGCTGTGGGGTTGAACATCACCCAAAAAGGGATCCTCCGTTTTTGGTTCAGAACTGGGCTGCCCTCAGATCCCCCGCTAACATTTTAACTTTTAGTGGGTCAAATGGAAACTACCACTAAACACCAAAAAGCTAAACGGCTAAGGGGATGCAGCAAGTGCGATGAAATTGCCGCAAAGGTGACGTTTAAGAGTCCCCCTCAGAGAGAACTATATGGGGCTAGCCTTTGCTCAAAGCAGGGCAGTTTGCGGTACGCGGAAGTTCCTCTGAAGTTGACCGTTGGCTGGTGTTCAACTACTGTTTGTGTGTGTGTGTGTTGCGTTGGACGCCAATGCAGAACATTGCTGGGCCGCCCGGGTTTAACATTGCGGAAGATGCTGTGCTATACAATCTCACTTCAGACCCTTGCAAAGGATAGCACTCAGATATTGCCTCAGGACCCAACCTCAAGACACAACTTTATGCAACTTGGCCAGCGTCGGTCGCCTAGTTCATACAAAACACACAAACTGCCTTCTCCATGGAGATCTTCAGGTGATCGACTGACCTCAGCCCACACAGGGGGGGGGAGGTGGGCAAGCATCCCAGCGCTCTTCTAGATTCTTAGGGGGACTGGCCATGGATCTCATGGCACAACGTGACAAAAGCACGGCTTCGACAAACTTCATTCAAGGCACATCTTCGCCTGGGATGCAAAGGCCTCGTTGATCTCGTAGATGTCAACGTCCTCCACCTTGAGGCCTGCCTCACAGTGTTGGGAAAGCTGGGCTGCAGGCTGAGACGTGGCAACGAAGCCGATGCTGCCAGTTTCTTGCGACAAACGTGCGCAACTCGCTTGCACGTCTGATTGTAGTTGAAAGGTATGTCACTAACAACCACAAAAAGCCAAATTCAAGTGTCACCATGAAATTGCCGCAATTCCTTGGCAACGAGTGAGGGGGAAAAACCTCAGGCTGGGCCTTCAACACGCCGGCGTTCTCCGGCCTTCTCCAGCGCGGGGGGAATGGCGAAGGCAGGGCCAATGCCCATGAGCTTGGGATCCACACCCACCTGGGCCAGCCAGCTGGGATGATTTTTCACTGGGGACCCCTTTGGAGGACATCATTTGGGTGCGGATTCATGTCCACCATTGTCCACCAACCACTTTTTGGTGGGTTCCCCA